TTTAGGGGTAGAGGCATCAGTACTTTGGAAGACTGTTCCATGCCCTAAGTAATTTCTCTGATGAAGATTGTTGTTGTTGCTGTTTAGTCGTTTAGTCATGTCCAACTCTTCGTGACCCCATGGACCAGAGCACGCCAGCCACTCCTGTCTTCCACTGCCTCCCGCAGTTTGGTCAAACTCATGCTGGTAGCTTCGAGAACACTGTCCAACCATCTCGTCCTCTGCCGTCCCCTTCTCCTTGTGCCCTCCATCTTTCCCAACATCAGGGTCTTTTCCAGGGAGTCTTCTCTTCTCATGAGGTGGCCAAAGTACTGGAATCTCAGCTTCACGATCTGTCCTTCCAGTGAGCACTCAGGGCTGATTTCCTTAAGAATGGATAGGTTTGATCTTCTTGCAGTCCATGGGACTCTCAAGAGTCTCCTCCAGCACCATAATTCAAAAGCATCAATTTTTCGGCAATCAACCTTCTTTATGGTCCAGCTCTCACTTCCATACATCACTACTGGGAAAACCATACGGAAAACTATACGGACCTTTGTTGGCAAGGTGATGTCTCTGCTTTTTAGGATGCTGTCTAGGTTTGTCATTGCTTTTCTCCCAAGAAGCATGCGTCTTTTAATTTTGTGACTGCTGTCACCATCTGCGGTGATCATGGAGCCCAAGAAAGTAAAATCTCTCACTGCCTCCATTTCTTCCCCTTCTATTTGCCAGGAGGTGATGGGGCCAGTGGCCATGATCTTAGTTTTTTTGATGAAGATAGGGACACCCTATTCAAATCATCATCATCATCATCATCCACCCATCTGGTTTTTAAAAAAATAATATTTATTAAAGTTTCAAAGGAAAAAAAGATCACATTAATAATAAAAAATTAGCAATAAAAAAGAAAAATACAAAGTAGAAAAAAAAGAAAAAACAGTTAAAAACAATTCCATCTTTTCCTCACTTCTTTTACGTTTACTTGTTTCCCGGACCTCCTCATACCTCCCTCTTTTGTATACTAATTCAATTGTTAATCCAACAATTCCTTTCCCTCCTTTTTACTCCTAATCCTTAGTCTTGATATATTGTAACATTAGATTTTTACATATTAAAAACCAATTTTTCCATATTCTTTTGTACCCATACAGCTAGAAACCCCTTAACTTCAATCCAACATCATTCTAACATTCATTAATTTTACAATATTTCTGTAAATAGTCTTTAAATTTCTTCCAATCTTCTTCCACCGACTCTTCTCCCTGGTCACGGATTCTGCCAGTCATTTCTGCCAATTCCATATAGTCCATTAATTTCATCTGCCATTCCTCCAGTGTGGATAAATCTTGTGTCTTCCAATGCTTTGCAATGAGTATTCTTGCTGCTGTTGTAGCATACATAAAGAAAGTTCTGTCCTTTAACACCGATTGGCCGACTATGCCCAGGAGAAAGGCCTCTGGTTTCTTCAAGAAGGTATATTTAAATACCTTTTTTAGTTCATTATATATCATCTCCCAGAAAGCCTTAATCTTTGGGCACGTCCACCAAAGGTGAAAAAATGTACCTTCACATCATCCACCCATCTGACTGGCTTGCCCCAGCCATTCTGAGCGGCTTTTGACATATATAAAAACATAATGAAACATTAAATGTTAAAAACCTTCCCTATACAGGCCTGCCTTCAGATGTCTTCTAAAGGTTGCATCGTTGCTTATCTCCTTGGCTCGGGAGTCGCATAACTTTATACCCTCCAAAATTTCTCCCATGAAAATAGGGATGTCCTAAGGAAAAATGGGACATTCTGGGATCAAATCAGAAACAGGAACCGCTTCTGTAAATCTGGGACTGTCCCTGGAAAATAGGGGCACTGGGAGGGTCTGATGTTCCCAGTAAAACCAGACAGGGACCTGCAATGCTGATATATTGTGGCTTGCTAAAGACCTTTAAGAACATGCTGGGCCTTTTTATGTTTTGCCAAGTTTTGTACAGAGTTAATTTGATTCAGGGCTGGATATTTGTTCTGTATTTTATGGTTTTTGCTTCCTGGAGGTTAATAAACCATCTCTGTTGGCAAATACACCAATTGGTGCTCCAATCTTTTCTGCAAATATACTCTGCTCCATCTAGGTCATGTATGTGATAGGAGCTTGTACCCAGGTCGCAGATAGTTCACGAGGGCCACAGACAGTTCACGAGGGGACTATTTTATATTGAACTTATGCCAGCTGTTCTAAGGCCATGATCCTTAGAAATAAACCATGCATAAAGTTTAGACTGGCACCCATCATGCATTTTCATAGAATTATAGAATTGCAGAGTTGGAAAGGATGCAGTAACAATATACAGGACCATTCTTCAAAGCAGCAGCGTATGCTAACCAGGAAGAATATTTAGAAAGCTGTGCATGGCAAAATGCTCTTGGACCTGTACTTGAGGCCTGAAGTCGTAGCTTTCTTTAAGGGCCCAACATAGTGTTAGGAGCTCAAATTTCAACACTGGTAGAAGTTTTGCTTTCAGTATGAAAGTTCTTGTATCCAGGTTTTTTTCTTCCTGTTGCTCAAGTTGTACATTACGGGTACTTGGATATTTCCTGTCTCTTTTGAGGCAATCAAATACCAGCATGATGTTTGATGAAGCCATTGCAGATCCTCATAGCTAAACAAACAGGATAGCTCTGATTCTTTGCTTTCTCTTTCAACATTAAAACCATTATGCCTCTCTTTCAACCTTCAACTAGAAAAAACAAATTGCACAAGGTTCCTGTTTCCAAGAAATGGATGCTTTCTGGGAAAGTTGTCTGCACTGTGGATTCCTGTTCTTCTGGGTTCCTTTTGGTTTCAAAAAGTAGGCCCAGATCCAGCATCAGCCCCCAGCTCCTCACCTGTTCACAAAAGTTCACCACAAGTCCTATGTTTATACAGTATTAGCATGGCATTTATATGGTTTGTGACATTTCAATGGTTTGCAACAGTATGGTTTGTAACATCTGTAGAAGCATTAAATTGGTAGCAGCAGCACTCATCTCAGTCAATAAAGCATGAGACTCAATCCCAGGGTTGAGGGTTCGATTCCCATGTTGGGTGAAAGATTCCTGCATTTCAGGGGGTTGGACTAGATGGCCCCGGTGGTCCCTTCCAACTCTACAAATCTGTGATTCTGTGATCTGCACTGGCCCAGAAAGTCTCTCTTGCAGAAAGGTGCAGAGAATCTGATTCTGGCAGCTGCTCTCAAAAGGAGTGGCCAAAGAGATCATTCTAAACCAGTCCCACAGAGTTCTGTCCTGGGCCCTGTCCTGGTTGTTCAAAGTCTTTATAAATAACTTGGATGAAGGAATTGAGGTGATGCTCATCAAATCTGCAGATGACAACAAACTGGGAGGGGTTGCTAATGAAGGCAGAATCCATATTCAATATGACCTCAACAGACTGGAGAACTGGGCGCAAGCTAACAAAATGAATTTCAATAGGGACAAATGTAGGAAGAACTGGCTGCACAAATATAGGATGGGGGACACCTGGCTTACTAGCAGTACATGTAAAAGCGATCTAGGGTCTTGGTGGACCACAAGCTTAACATGAGTCAACAGTGTGATGCAGCAGCAAAAAAAAGCTAATGCTATTCTAGGCTGCATCAACAGAAGTCTAGTGTCCAGATCAAGGGAAGTAGGCTAATAGTGCTACTCTATTCTGCCTTAGTCAGAACACACCTGGAACACTGTGTCCAATTCTGGGCACCACAATTTAAGAAGGATGTTGACAAGCTGGAACATGTGCAGAGGAAGGCAACCAAGATGATCAAGGGCCTGGAAACTAAGCCTGATGAGGATCAGTTGGAGGAGCTGGGTATGTTCAGCCTGGAGAAGAGGAGACTGAGAGCTGATAGGATAGCCATCTTCAAATATCTCAAGGGCTTCCACATGGAGGTGAGAGCATGCTTGTTTTCTCCTGCTCTGGAGGGTAGGACTCGAACCAGTGGCTTCAAGTTACAAGGAAGGAGATTCTGACTAAACATTCGGAAAAACTTTCTAGCAGCTGTTGGGCAGTGGAACAGAGGTGGTGGACTCTCCTTCCTTGGAGGTTTATAAACAGAGGTTAGATGGCCATCTGTCATCGATGCTCTAGCTGAGATCCCTGCATTGCAGGGGGTTGGACTAGATGACCCGTGGGGTCCCAACCAACTGTAAGATTCTATTATTTTAAAAAAATAGTTGGGCCATTGCCCTGATCCAGCAAGCTATTCTCATGTTCTGTGCAATGGGCATATTGTGTGGTTCATGCCAGGGAAGAGAGGAATGTGTTTGGATGGTATGGCAGGGGTCAGTATTTTTCTAAGACCACAGATTCGTTTGGGGTTTTTTTTGTTTCCCTGAGTTCACCCCCCCCAAAAAAAAACCCAGGGGGAAAAAATCCAGTTCAATTCAACAAGAGTTCACTCATCTCTTCTTCTTAGATCACTTCTAGATATCCTGTTTATTGAGCACATGGCCAGATACTGTTGCAGAGATGTTAGATGACCACAGCTATGGACTGGAAGTTCATCCTGGTGTTTTGGAGATGTTAGATGATGTTGCACCAAGCAATGGTTATCCCCCCCCGGGGGGTGCCAACTTGAATACAATATTGGAAGTGTCCAGGTAAGCCCCACCTCACATAATTGATCACATGACAAAGCACACACACACCATTTGAATGGCAATACCCATTAATTTTTTTGGGGGGGGGGGAGTTTGCTCCTATGTTCCCACCCTTTCCAGTGCATTTTACTGCAGAAAGTCTTTGGAGGCAGCCATGAACATATGAGAGAGACTCTGGACCTATCTAGAATGTGCTCCCCTTACTGCGGGGTAAGCGAAAAGAAGAAGCACATTTGGGATCTCAGGAGCAAGTACATTACATACTGCATTAAATCCCACCTGGGGAAAAAAGCAGAAAGCACACCTAAACCTGTCTCAAGATATCAGCCCCAGGGTCGGGATTCTGCAATACACACTGTTTTTTTAAAAGGAAAGGCAGTACAATGGAAACACAACAAAAGCACTCCCTTTTAATAGCAATCTGCCACAACGAATTTAAATTGCAAGAAAACAGCCGCCTGCACTTGCTAAGGCACCGCCGAGAGCCCTTCATTCCCTGCTCTGATAAAAGAAAGGCAGCGTTCAGTGTCCACTCAACTGTCTCGGTTGCCTTTTGCATCTCTGTCTTCAACAGCTCTTTCCTCAGGTCTGGCACCTTGAAGATTCTAGGGGAGAAAAATCCAAAACCAAGAATCTTTTATGGCAAATACTGCGACATGGGTGGCACTGTGGGTTAAACCACAGAGCCTAGGGCTTGCCGATCAGAAGGTCGGCAGTTCGAATCCCCGCAACGGGGTGAGTTCCCGTTGCTCAGTCCCTGCTCCTGCCAACTAGCAGTTCGAAAGCACGTCAAAGTGCAAGTAGATAAATAGGTACCGCTCCAGCGGGAAGGTAAACGGCGTTTCGGTGCGCTGCTCTGGTTTGCCAGAAGCGGCTTAGTCATGCTGGCCACATGACCCGGAAGCTATATGCCAGCTCCCTCGGCCAATAAAGCGAGATGAGCGCTGCAACCCCAGAGTTGGTCACGACTGGACCTAATGGTCAGGGGTCCCTTTGCCCTTTACCTTTACTGGGTATGTTTAGGCTGGAAAAGAGGAGACTGAGAGGAGATGTGATAGCCATCTTCAAAAATCTCAAGGGCTGTCAAATGGAAAAGGGAACAAGCTTGTTTTCTCCTGCTTCTGAGGATAGGACTCAATGGCTTCAAGTTACAAGGAAGGAGATTCCAACTAAACACACGGAAAAACTTTCTGAGGGTAAGAGCTGTTCGGCAGTGGAATGGGCTTCCTTGGGAGGTGGTGGACTCTCCTTCCTTGGAAGTTTTCAAGCAGAGCTTGGGTGGCCATCTATCATGGATGCTTTAGCTGAGATTCCTGCATTGAAGGGGGCTGGACTAGATGATTCTAAGATTTGTCCAGGTGGGGGTGGGCAAGAGGTTGCAGCTATTAAGTCATCTTTCTGCATTTCAAAATATTTTTTTTTTAAATCCCCAGAAAGGGCAAGACACCTGCCTGGAAAGTTGGTGGAGCATTTTCCATTTCAACCTTCAAATGGGTGAATTCAAGCAACTGGATTTGGAGGAGGCAGCGGCGGGGAGAGAGGGACAATTAGCCACATGAGTAAGTCACCATCACTCCTAGATTCATAAGAAATACATTATTCAGCAGTCAAAATTGCCAAAAAAATAACCACAAAACACCCAACCCTTAAAAGATGGACTCTGCATGATTCAGCATTCTAGATCTGTAGTGCTTTTTAGAAGCAAATTCTAGCCTAAACAGGAGATGAGGGAGAGCTGGAAACCTGAGAGTGGGTTTTGCTCTATAAGACTCACTTTTTCCCTCCTAAAAAGTAAAGGGAAATGTGTGTGCGTCTTATGGAGTGAATGCAGGCTGCGCAGCTATCCCAGAAGCCAGAACAGCAAGAGGGATTGCTGCTTTCACTGTGCAGCGATCCCTCTTGCTGCTCTGGTTTCTGAGATTCAGAATATTTTTTTTCTTGTTTTCCTCCTCCAAAAACTAGGTGCGTCTTGTGGTCTAGTGCGTCTTATAGAGCGAAAAATACGGTAATTTTTTCCCCAGCACAGTTTACCATTTTGAAAGCCGCAGTCATCTATCTCACATGACTAAAGTGTAAGATTCCTCCCCTATTTCACCCCCCAAAAAGTGGCTGCCAGGAAACAGAGCACTGATTTAAAAAGGAGAAGAAACTTTGTCTTCATGTGTGAGTGGGGCAGGTGGGTGTTTTTGAATCAGGTTAGCCAGATTAATTCATATGCTGTTGGCAGATTCTTGTCGTTGTGTTGTTGGGCTGTGTATGTGATAGAGGGGAGGCATGCTGGGGTGAAGGCATCTTCTTCCACTTGTCCCCATGTCAGTTTCAGTTTATTGCTTAGTTTTTTTCTAATAAGGCTGTTTCCCATACTATTTGGTACCATTGGCCCATGCTTACTCCTGACAGGTCTCTCCTGTGTCTGGCTATGGTGTTTCTGGCTACTGAGAGTAAGTGAGTTATGAGTTCTTTGTGATGAGAGTGGGCATTATTATCTTGGAAGATATTTTTTTTTAAAATTATTCAACATAATTGTTAAGCAAAATATTGCAAATACATACATACATATACGGTATATTTCAAATAAGCACATATATATGAAAAAGGAACAAAAGAGGAAAGAAGAAGAAAAGAAAAAAAGAAGAAGAAATAAAGAGAAAAGAAGACGAAGAAAAGTTGGAAGAATTTCTCCCAAGTTTATTCTACAAATATCTCAATATGAAAATAATAATAAAATTTCATTGATTGACTTCCATCACTTACACTGCACTGCCTATATACATTTTAAGCAAGATTGTATCTGTTATTCCGTATTTTTCCGATACAATCTCACACAAATATTCTAATCAATGTTTTCTAAATCTTTCGTAAATCTATTCTATACACAACCAATACCTTACATTTAATCCTTGTCTACATAAATAGCCATTTAAACATTTCCATTTTTTCTGGATTATATTTTTCGGTTTTGGTCTTATCAAATCAGTCAACTTTGCTAATTCCAAGTATTAATCGCATAATTTATTCAACCATTCTTCTTTGGTTGGAACATAATTTCCTTTCCAATTATTGGCTATCAACATTCTCCCTGCTGTTGTCGCATATAAGAAAACATTAATTTTGTCATCTTGGAAGAGGTTTGGTAGGGCCAGTTCTGGGGTGAAAGGAGAAGAAACAGAGAAGGTTGCCTTGAGTGTCTAAGGTTGGTGAGATCGCAAGGAGCCCCTAAGGCCTGGCAAATGAAGCTAAGATCCTGCCCCCCCATCTCCCTCCAATTTGGGCATTCCCTCCCACCTGTTCTTATCACAACCTGCAGTGCATTAACAATTCAAACAATTCCCTGCAGCCCAGGTCAGACACCAAGAGATTTCTCTACTCACCGTACTTTCCATTTTTTCAAATAGCTGACTGGAGAAGGGAAGATAAGAATGAAAAAGGGATGTTAGGACCCTCATACACAAGGATTTTAAATGCCATTTTTAAACTTATAAACACCATCCCCAACTCCTTGAAACATTCCATCAACAGTGTCTCCAAAAAAATTACACATCACTTGGGAAGACAGGCAAACTAATGCCAGTGTACTGGAAGAAGCAAAGATCACCAGTGTCGAAGCAATGATTCTTCAACATCAACTTAGCTTTTGGCTAAGCTAAGAGACAATCTACGAGAGAAGGACAAAAAGGACTTCAAAAGAGTCTGGGAACCATTTATAGTTTATTTGCAGAAACAACAGAATGGGCTGGATTCACTGGCAGGATTTGAATAAACTTTCACAATTTCATTTGAGTAACAGATATTTCAGAGAAATGAAACGGGATTTTATTTTTGTGTAGGAAAAGCAGGATACGATAGATAAAACTAAATAACTCAACAGAGTTGAGAGAAGTCGAAAGGAGGGGGGAGAATAATTGTAAATAACATGATGAATGAGATTTGTATCATTAATTATTATGAAATTCAATAAATATTCAAAATAAATAAATAAGGCCCAATTGTGAATCCCCATGCAGGCCACTCGTTTCTGCATGTGATGGACCAGAGTCTAATTGCTTTCCTCAAAACATTAGAAAGGCTCCCTGTGCTCTTTTCCCCACAGGAATTCATGTTAAGGAGAACGGCACAGGATTATTTCTGCATTTTGAGAATGGCTCGGGTGTACGTCTCTGAAGTTCTATTGATTCGGCTGGCCTTTAAAGCTAGACTTAAACTGGTAGAGTTGAGGGTGTTTGTACACACACCCTGCACACAATTGGTTGACACTGATAGCCCCCAATCGCCCCATAACACAAAATTAAATTTTGTGACCTACCGGGAACTAGCCAATAGGGACTGTCCCTAGCAGAAGGAAGCAGCAAGAGAGAAGTGCCAAAATAATGGGTTACAAATAAGTCCATCGGAGTATCAACAGGGGGATTTGGAGCATCTGTGCAACAGGCACACCTGCAAACAGTATTATGCGCGGCCAATTCCACTGCTCAAAGGTCTAGAACGCACATTTATATTGTATCCCCTGCTCAATAACACGCGCATCAGAAAGGGTGCACACTCACCAGTCCCAGTCTCTCTGCAGCTGGTAAATGCTCTCCTGCAAAAGGTTGTCTGCCATTGTCTAAACATAGAAAAGATCGCACAATACTGGCTATGTTCCTTGCAAACGCCTTTGATCCCAAGGTGCACATTAACCTAATGATTTTGTTAAACCCTGCTTTTGGAGTTACCCTCATTGGGTGGATGAGGAATGTGTGCCTCCAGTTTTAAGGCGGCAAAAAGTGACTTGGGACATAGGCACAGTGTACCTATAAGGGACAGGGGGAAATTCAGTTCAGTTCATATTTTAAACATCGTGTTTTAAAGATCACATTTTAACAAGGACTTCCCTAGATTTGGCCTTCCCAAAACTATCGGTTTCTGCATTATCCCCTCAGAAGTGGCGGCCCATTCTGGCAGAAAATAAAAACATTCCTGTTTTTTTAAAAAAATAATAACCAAAAGTTACTTAACCAAACTCCCTTGGATTCTGCCTCAAATTTGGCAGTCTTGATCCACTCTTTGCCTGCAAATTTCACCCACTTATGTAAGAAGAGGGGGAAATATATAGCCATTTTTAGATTCCCCGTTGTAGTCAATGTGGTCAAAACAGAGTTTTGGGTTTAACAGATCAGATTCAGATCTGAATAATGAACTGGAGTTACACACAGCAGATCCAAAACAGATTGGGCTGCTTCCAAATGCTACAGATACAGAGGAAAGGTGAATCTTGTGATTTTCTCCACATCCCTGGTCCTTAATGAAGACAGTGTCACTGAATAGCCACATCCCTGGCATGTTTTCAGCTATTAGAAAACACCAGTCCTGCATAAGAAGAACTTACCAGAAACCACCTGGCTTTCGTCGTTCCCAAACTCTGGACAAAGAAACGTTCTCAGACTCCAGTTCTTCTGAACTGATGATGCAACTACAAGACTGGAATTCTGAGTAAACCAATGTCTCGCCGCCACCACACAGCTCCATAGCAACGCAATACTCATTTGGAACGGAAACCATCTTGCGGCTCCAGGAATGGCTGACCACACTGGGTATCAGAAAATTGGTTTAGATGGACTTTCAGTCTGACCCTGTAGCGCTGCTCTTATCCAGACTATACAACCAACAAGAGATATTCTTGTCTGACTTACTTGGAAAGAAATTTATTGGCTAGCCACAGAAGGTGGTTTCAACTAGCTGTTACTCGGAGCAGACCTACTGAAATCAATTACAGTGGTAGTGTACATTAATTTTGATGGGCCAGATTCAACTACTGCATTCCACCAGCAAAAACCAGCACAAGGACTGCTGCTAGCACACTAGGGCTTCCCTCTGGCCTAGCCCCCCCCCCAAAAAAAAATCTGCTCTGGAGGGTCAGGGAACCCCCAGAACAGTACAGGGGGTGAGATCCTCAACGACATCCTCAAAGCTATTTCTTTTTTGGCCAGCCATGGATGTTGTGGTATCATCCTAATAGATACTGAGATTTGGTCGGAGAGGTGCACTCTGTGCATGCTCAAGTCATTTATTTCTGGGGCTCACAATTTCTTTTCATACCTACATCAGCCTCCCAGATCTAGAAAGCTAACTTAAAATTCCCCCATCTGCCACAAGCTCACCTTATGGTATTGGGTAAATTATTCCTGGTACTGTGTCAAAAAGGGACACGGGTGGCGCTGTGGGTTAAACCACAGAACCTAGGACTTGCTGATCAGAAGGCCAGCGGTTTGAATCCCTGTGACGGGGTGAGCTCCTGTTGTTCGGTCCCTGCTCCTGCCAACCTAACAGTTTAAAAGCACATCAAAGTGCAAGTAGATAAATAGGTACCGCTCCGGTGGGAAAGTAAACGGCGTTTCCGCGCTCTGCTCTGGTTCGCCAGAAGCAGCTTAGTTATGCTGGCCACATGACCCGGAAGCTGTACGCCGGCTCCCTCGGCCAATAAAACGAGATGAGCGCCGCAACCCCAGAGTCGGCCACGACTGAACCTAATGGTCAGGGGTCCCTTTACCTTTACCTTGTCAAAAGAGTAGCAGGAATGGGGCAATAGTCCAGTAGTACTCTAAAGGCTACCAAATGTATTACCATCTAAACCTTGATGAATTAGCACAAATGATGCTACTGCAACAAAGCTTTTTGCCTTTAAAGTGCTGTTCCTTTTGTTGTTTCCCTAAAATTACGGATGGAGGACTATAAAAAAACTACAAAAATAGGAATGTTTCAAATGAGAACTCAAGTGTGGAGACCTTATATACAGTATGGGAGCATGGAATGCACCTCCAGTACGTTTCTGAGCACAATTCAAAGTGTTATATACAAATATAATTCATTCTGCTGCTGACAAAATTCAAAGTGTTGGTGCTGACCTTTAAAGCCCTAAATGGCCTCAGCCTAGTATACCTGAAGGAGCGTCTCCACCCCCATCGTTCAGCCCGGACACTGAGGTCCAGCACAGAGGGCCTTCTGGCGGATCCCTCACTGCGAGAATTGAGGTTACAGGGAACCAGGCAGAGGGCCTTCTCAGTAGTGGCGCCCGCCCTGTGGAACGCCCTCCCATCAGGTCTCAAGGAGATAAACAACTATCTGACTTTTAGAAGACATCCGAAGCCAGCCCTGTTTAGGGAAGTTTTTAATGTTTGATGTTTTATCGTGATTTTAATGTTCTTTTGGGAGCTGCCCAGAATGGCTGGGGAAACCCAGCCAGATGGGCGGGGTATAAATAATAAATTATTATTATTATTACCACCGTATTTTTCGCTCTATTGGATGCAGTTTTTCCTCTCCAAAAATTGAGGGGAAATGTGTGTGCGTCCTATAGAGCGAATGCAGGCTTGTGCCATAGCTGCGCGCAACCCCTCCGGCAGGGAGAGGCTGCACGGGGCTATGGCTTCTTTAGCCCTGCGCAGCGTCTCCCGGCAAGGAGAGGCTGCACGGGGCTAAAGGGGAAGCCAAAACAGCAAGCGGGATGGATCCCGCTCGCTGCCTTGCCTGCTTCCATAGCTGCGCGCAACCCCTCGGGCAAGGAGAGGCTGCACGGGGCTATGGATTCTTTAGCCTCACGCAGCCTTTCCCAGGAGGTAGAGGCTGCACGGGGCTAAAGGGGAAGCCAAAACAGCGAGCAGGATCCATCCCGCTCGCTGCCTTGCCTTCTTCCATAGCTGCGCACAACCCCTCTGGCAGGGAGAGGTTGTGTGCAGCCTGTACGCTGCTCTTTGGGGCTGGGGGGGAAAATATTTTTTTCCTTGATTTCCCCCCCTAAAAACTGGGTGCGCCCTATGGTCCGGTGCACCCTGTGGTGCGAAAAATACGGTACTCTGCCTGAACACCTGACCCAGGTAAGCCTTTCCCAGCAGGCAGCCACACACTGGATTTGCTGAGGATTTATATGCAAAGTCTGTTTGTAGTCATGAATATCCTAGATATGATGCAAGGGACGCCAAGGGTCATCTAGTCTGACCCCCTGCAATCGCAGCTGAAGGGCCCCTGACAGATACCCATCCAACTTGTTTAAAAGCCTCCAAAGAAGTAGAGTCCAGTACCTTCAGAGGGAGTCCACTCCATGTTGAGCAGCTCTTCCTATCAGGAAGTTATTCCTCTTTTGATTTCAATATAGTGTAACTTAGTGTTGCTCTTCTTATAAGCCACCAAGAGAATATTCACTATTCACCTATGGGCAGCTATAGAAATTAAATAATGCAGACAGCATTGGTAGCAGGTGACTCTAGTTGACATCTGGGTTGCAGGGTAAATAGAAGCAAACACAGTCGCCTTTGCATTTAGGATTTTATTCAAGTAACCATTACTGATGTCTTACACTAGATTGGGGGGGGGGGCGGTGGAGAGAGAAGACAAAATCCTAAAAACTGGCACATGAGTGATACAGAAGCCAAGTAGCAAAGCTCTTCTCAGAAACAGGAATTTATTTTTGTTAAAACAAAACTGCAGAACTTAGAAATATGCAGAATGAGGTGGTTTGCTTACTTCCAACTAAATACATCAGGCTGTAAAACAACAGGATTTTGTTGACTGCACAATGGGGGCAAAACCCAAATGACAGAACCCTCTTAAATGTGTCTTCATATGAATAGTAACTCCTGCATCTACAGCCCAAATCGTAACATAGATCATGATGGTATGTTTGACTTCTTGACACCTCCTCTTATTCACCTCTCACCTCTCAGGATAAAGGACACTGGGAAACATTTTGCTTGTGAATTACTCCTTCTTATTTATATTGTTCATTGAACATAGTTAAAGGAAATGGAGAAAGCAAAACAAGAATGCTGCTGAGTTGAGATCTTGAGGAGCCCTAAAACGTATTTGATCAAGATCAACTTTGTAAGACCCACTGGGCCAAATCTTCTAAGTTTCAACTGTTTGGCAACAAAGAATTGACCAGAAGCTCAAATCTCTCTTGGAACGGTAAATATTATGGGCAAAATCTGAACATGGCAACACAGAGTTTTTTCAGATGAAAGTACTTTGGGTAAGAAACGAATGAAAGAAGTGCATCCTGGTACCTAACTGAGAACGGGAGAGGGGGTTGCAGTAGATAGCCCATGTGTCATTGTGTACTTTGTATATGAAGATGCTGAATGCAGGAAGCCTATTGGATCAGGCCAAACACATCTGTGTGGTCCAGCTCAGTTAAAAATGCCTGTCCCATGCCAGCTTCTCCCCACCCCATATTTTGAGTGTCTAAAATATCAAGCCTACAGACATGGTCCAAAAGGATTGTCAAGTGCTAATATAACTATATTTCTAACTCTCAAGGAAATTTTCATCCCTCTAAACGGCCAAGATAATCTGTATCAGCCTAGAACACCTGGAGTTGGCATCAGCCATTATTATTATTATTATTACTACCACTTAAATCTGTATACCATCCTATACCCGCAGCCATGTTATCCAAAAGATGAAGTGAATAAACACTGTTCTTTATTTTGCAAGGGCAGATGGATCTAATATTTAAGACTGCACCCCATGATCAACAAAACTGGATGCTCAGCTGACCGGCAATGTGTGCTTAAGGTGAGCCCCACAGATGACCTGTTCACCCCATAGATTGAGTCCATTCTCCCCATAATGATCACGCGCTGTCTATTCCCATTATCGTAGCAGCTTCAGGGTTAAGACCACACTGTATATGTCATCCTCAACACCCTAAATCAATGTATCAACTGCAACCTGGAATAAGGTCTCAAGGAGATGTGCACATAAAATAATTTAAAAGTCAAGAACGCAAACACATTTAAAACAAGGTGAAAACAGGACAAAGTAAAGACTCATTTATCCAGGGGGGAAAGCCTATCAGAACAGAAATATCCCCAATTGTTTCCAGAAAGTGCGGACAGTGAGAGCCTGTAATATCTCTATGTGAATACAATTCCACAGAATATCATCCAGTAACTAAGTCAAATATTTTATCACATGGAAGAGATACTCAAGAGGGAGAGGAGAATGTCCCTGTGAACATTTGTTGGAGCCTGTGGCAATCAAGTTGCACATTAGGAGACAGGAATGATGTTTTCCTGTGAAACCCAGGAGCTACACAGCATCCAGAAGTGCTTTTGAAATTATCTATGTATATGGTGCGAGTGCACAGGAGATGGGGGACAAACAGGAAGAAAGATGAACGGAGATATGACCAAGCCTTCCTAGAAGATGGTATTCTGGTGCTGTGCTGCTTCAAGACTTCAAAACAGATGAACACTCAGGATGGCGCCGCCCAGGTCTTGCCAGCTGATCACTTGAGGCTGCCTCACACCTGGAGAGTCAGTTGACCTGGGCAACCCTGGAAATGGAGCGGGCCGAGTCGAGGAAGGTGAACATGGTGTTCACCAGGTCTGGTAGATCATAATCGTGTTTCCATCCCCAATCTTGGCGAGCATTGCTGTCGTCAAAAATCATCGGCCAACTGTCAGCTGTAGCACAGGGGGAAAAGACAAAACAGATTGTGTGATAAGCAAATTCCTCCTCGCTTTATGCTTAATTCAATAACTTCAGTGGCTCTCCCCACCCCCCCAAAAAAACCCCAGGTTTGCTTTTCTACTTTTAAAAGAAAAAAGAAATGAACAGCAGCTTCAGGAGGGAGAAGTTTTGAAACTGGAAAGCATCAGGGAGGGGAGAGGGCACAAATCTTCTCTCATCTCTTTACCAGAAAACGATGTTCCAAAGGGAGGAGTTTGCTTCTTTCACTGGGATCTATATATTATATACAAGGTATTTGTAGGTCTATTTGTGATGGTAAATGTCTATGGAACACAGCCTCCCCTCCTTCATTTGAATGTCACCTCCTTCATGAAGTAGGAAAAGCTTCTGCCTAGGTTTCAATGCACACATTTCCCCACTTGGCCCAAAGTAAAGCAATTTTCACCCGGCATTAACTGAGAGATGTTGCCTTTGGGGTGCGGGGAGGAAGACAAGATTCTTGTGGCCCTGAAGGTTTTCACTGTTATGTGTTGCACATTTTACGATGACATTTTACTATTTTATAAAACCAAGTCACTTTTACCGTACCATTTTGAGGCTCTCCTTACCACACACCCCAGTACATCTTTTAACGCTTTCCTGTCTCCCAAGAGCAAATTTGAGCATCCCCATTGCCTATATAGCACCCGACCTCTGTAGAACACCACCCACCAATTCTTCTTAGCAGGGGAACGAATGCTCCTCTGATTGATCTGACTCCTCCATTGCTCACTACAGATAAAATCCGACATACTCCACCTGTAAGACTCCTCTCTTGTTATCAAGATGCCTTACAGAGTCAGACCTTTGGATCTGGTGAGCCCATTGTATGCCAGTTGACAGGAGTCTACCAGCTGAAAAGTGTTTTTCCAGGTGCAGCCTTGCTATCCAAGTCCTCACCTTCACATAGCAACTTTTAAGTACTACTTAGATCAGCCTTAACCAACCTGATGGCCTTCAGAAGTTGTGGGTTACTTGTCTGGGGCCAATGGAAGCTATAGTCCAAAAGTTCTGGAAGGCACCAGGTTAGGGAAGGCTAGTTACATCTATCATGCCTTGGCCCAAAGCCTGGTGCCATTCATATGAAGGAGAATCTCCACCCCCATCCTTCAGCCCAGACACTGAGGTCCAGCGCCAAGGGTCTTCTGGTGGTTCCCTCACTGCAAGAAGCCAAGTTACAGGGAACCAGGCAGAGGGCCTTCTCGGTAGTGGCACCCGTCCTGTGGAATGCCCTCCCACCAGATGTCAAAGAGAAGAACAACTACCAGACTTTTAGAAGACATCTGAAGGCAGCCCTGTTTAGGGAAGCTTTTAATGTTTAACAGACTACTGTATTTTAGTACTTTGTTGGAAGCCGCCCAGAGTGGCTGGGGAAGACAGCCAGATGGGCGGGGTATAAATAATAAATTATGATGATGATGATGATGATGATGATGAAAAGGAACAATAGGATAGAGCCAAGAGGAACACCCAGACCCAACTACATCTAGCCTATTTTAAGACCCAGCAACAAGATGAACACACATTGCAGTGAAAGATCAGAGCCCAGTACTGACCTATGGCTTGTCTGACAGCATCTACTTTGTAGGAAACTTCAAGTTCTGGAATATGCTTCTGGACCTCTTGAACCAGCTCCTCGGGTGTAAAACTCAAAGCGCTGATGTTGTATGTCCTCATGCTCAGCCCTTCAGCAGGGGCTTCCATGATCTCCAAGGTAGCTCTCAGGCAGTCATCAATGTACATCATTGGGAGGCGGGTGTCTGGTTTGAGGTTGCACTGGAACTTGCCCGTCTTCATCGCATCGTGGAAGATTTGGACGGCATAATCTGGAGACGAGGAAAGTTAAACAATGCTAACTGGTAATGCAGCTGTAAGAATATAAAAAGAGCCTTTCGGATGAGGCCACTAGCCCATCTTACAGTAGCTGGCAAACCTAGACAGCATCTTAAAAAGCAGAGACATCAGCTTGCCAACAAAGGTCCATCTAGTTAAAGCTATGGTTTTCCCAGTAGTGATATATGGAAGTGAGAGCTGGACCATCAAGAAGGCTGATCGCCGAAGAATTGATGCTTTTGAATTATGGTGCTGGAGGAGACTCTTGAGAGTCCCATGGACTGCAAGAAGATCAAACCACTCCATTCTGAAGGAAATCAGCCCTGAGTGCTCACTGGAAGGACAGATCCTGAAGCTGAGGCTCCAAGTACTTTGGCCACCTCATGAGAAGAGAAGACTCCCTGGAAAAGACCCTGATGCTGGGAAAGATGGAGGGCACAAGGAGAAGGGGACGACAGAGGACGAGATGGTGGGATAGTGTTCTCGAAGCTACCAGCATGAGTTTGACCCAACTGTGGGGGGCTGTGGAAGACAGGAGTGCCTGACGCGCTCTGGTCCATGGGGTCACGAAGAGTTGGACATGATTAAATGACTAAACAACAACAGTAGCTGGCCAGATACCTACAGGAAGCTGGCAAGCAGGACCCAAGCAATAAGAGCACTCTTTCTTCCTGCTGTTTCCAATAACTGGTATTCGGATGCATTCTGCCTCCATCTGTAGAAGCAAAGCATAGCCATCGTGGCTAGTAGCCACTGGCAGCAGTCACCTGCATGAATTTGTCTACTGTAAAGCCATCCAAGTAGACGGCCATCTCTGTCACACACAGTGAAGGAGCTGCTGAATGCCTCTCTCTCCTTGATGTTCATCTTCCCTTACATACCAGTTTCCCCTAACAGTTGAGAAGAACAAGTAAAGTTACTGACTAGGGCAAGGATAACCAGGCAGAGGGCCTTCTCGGCAATGGCACCCGCGCCCTGTGGAACGCTCTCCCACCAGATGTCAAGCATCAAGGAAATAAACTATCTGACTTTTAGAAGACATCTGAAGGCAGCCCTGTTTAGGGACATTTTAAATGTTTGATCTTTTATTGTGTTTTTAATATTCTGTTGGGAGCTGCCCAGAGTGGCTGAGGAGGTCTGGCCAGATGGATGGGGGAATACATTATTATTAATTATTATTATTATTAACATGAGGACCTCCAGATATTGTGGACTACACTTCCCATTAACTCTGGCCACTGACCATGCTGGCTGGGGCCAATGGGAGTTGGAATCCACAGAAGGTATCACACTGGCTACTCCTGCACTAGAGAAAGAAATAAAGGATGATAAACAACGGCTGGAGTGTTTATGTGTGAGAGATACCAATTCCCTCCATCGTTCCCTTCTCCTATGGCACATGAAATGTTCTGCCATGATCTAAGGCAAGAGCCCCATTTCCCCCTCCCTCTTAGTATCACTATTGTATTTTATAGGCTAACTTACCAGTTGTTCCCCCACCGGGCTTGGAATCAGCTGAGATAATACCAGGGTATCTTAGGCACCGGAAGTCTAGTCCATACCTGTAATGGTAATACTGAACAAGGAAAGAAAAGATACAATTAGCTACTAATTCTTCTACAGTAGCAACTCTAGCTACCTGGTGTTAGTGGCTTCTTAAAATGTTTATAGAGGAAATTAGGGAAACAGACTGATTTTAGGAGCAAAACAAGGGACGTTTGCTGCAACAAAGTCTTGTGGCACCTTCAAAACTGAGAGATTAGTTGTGGCTGATGAAAGCATTTCACAACCTATCAACTATTTTTGTTTAATTAATTAAATTTATATCCCTGCCTTTCCTCCATCAAGGAACCCAAAGCAGCGTACATGCAGGTCCCACTTTCCGAATGCTCACGATGTGAAAAAGCAATTATCCAACGTGAAGAACTGGCACCTAAACCTCGCTATGCACACCACAGATTCAGTTATCAGAGCAGATGGAGTTTTCTCACTTTCTTACTTGTTTATGTTATGCTAAATTGTGGCAGCCATATGGGAGGGAAACAACCATGCAGGGAGACTGGACAAATCAGTTTTCTTTGCTGTTTGGCTGCAGCCATTTCAGGAAGAAACCATGGAGGGAGCGGGGAGGGAGACTGGACAAATCACGGATTAGAAATGTTCCCATAGGAAATACTGGAAATCGTCAGCTTGCTATGCAAACACTTGCCTAGCGAACCATTTCCTGGGAACGCATTGTGTCCAGAAAGCGGGACTTGCATGTACATGCGGTTCTCGGGCAGGCAGTCCATCCACAAACCAACCAGAGCCAGACCTGCTTAACTTCAGCAAGGTGGTGGCCTCATGTACCTTCATAAACATAGCTAGCGTCATTGGTAATACAGGAGTTTGTTGTTTACATTCTCTCTCTTAAAATGGAAAAAGGCCTGAAAAGTTAAGAGTGTCAGTCCAGATTTCATGGAGTGGGAGGAGAGAGGGAATGTTCCACAGTGCATGTCACCTTTTCATACAGTCGTACCTTGGAAGTCGAATGGAATCCGTTCCGGAAGTCTGTTCGACTTCCAAAACATTTGGAAACCAAAGCGCGACTTCCGATTGGCTGCAGGAAGTTCCTGCAGCAAATCGGAAACCGCGGAGTAGGTACAGCTTCCGAAAACCGGAACACTCACTTCCAGGTTTCAATCATTCGGGAGCCGATTTGTTCGGGAGCCAGGGCATTTGAGATCCAAGGTACGACTGTACTGGCATTTGATGAATTCTCTTGGGTTAAGATGCCATTGGTACAAGTAACTTAGGAACAAAGTACAAGAAATTCATTTAAGCAACTTTAAGCACTTTCTGCTTAATCAGCCCTGAGTGCTCACTGGAAGGACAGATCCTGAAGCTGAGGCTCCAATACTTTGGCCACCTCATGAGAAGAGAAGACTCCCTGGAAAAGACCCTGATGTTGGGAAAGATTGAGGGCACAAGGAGAAGGGGACGACAGAGGACGAGATGGTTGGACAGTGTTCTCGAAGCTACCAGGATGAGTTTGACCAAACTGTGGGAGGCAGTGGAAGACAGGAGTGCCTGGCGTGCTCTGGTCCATGGGGTCACGAAGAGTCGGACACGACTAAACGACTAAACAACAAGAAGCACTTTCTGCGCTTTTAGCAGCATTCGCTGTCCATCCACAACACCACAGACAAATGCTCATGAAAGGGGAACCACCACCACATATTGAAAGGGGCTGGAGGCATCTGCATAAGGAAAGGGCAACTCTTACTTCTCCCATGAGCTCAGCATGAACTTTGGATACACCGTAGATTGTCCTTGGCCTCTGGATGCAGAGATCGGGAGTTGGGTTCCTAGGGGACGTGGGTCCAAACGCTCCAATTGTGCTGGGGACAAAAAGTCTCAAGCTGTGCTCAGCAGCAATATCAAGAATGTTGTGCAATCCTGGGAACAGCAAACAGAGTTATCAGGCTTGAAACCAAGCGTTAACACTCCCAGAGGGAGGCAGGAACAGCTAAACAAACAATATGAAGCAAGCTGACATCTACCAGTGATATTCACAGATCTTGCCAAAGGGACATTGGCTTCTCCAACTGCGCTGAGCAAAGCGCTGTAATGAAACAGCCACGTAATCCGGTTGTTCACCACTATCTCACGGAGGTTCTTGTAGTCCAAAATGTCAGAGTAGATGAAAGGACCTAAGAGGAGGAGGAAGGTGAAAGCATGAAGGTAAGAGGCAGCGTAAGAACCTAGAAATTGGAGAGGGTCACCTGCCTTTTGGACAAAAGCTTGTTGATGGAAAACAGAATCTCAAGGAATTCTCATGTTCTTTGCGGAACACTGCATGCGTAACGAACTTCATACACAAGTGTGTGCATCCTTTCATGTACATACAGAACGATCCATTACTAAAAGGTGCAAAAATGTTTTGACCATGGTGTTGTGCACCATCAGTTGTGCACATTAATCAGCACGTGTCCATGGCAGTCACCCCCAAACATACATACATCTATTGCAAAGCAGCTAGGCCAAATTTGACACTCGTTTCAGTTGACCAAGGCGCTGTTTGAAACACCACAAGAGCTGCAAAACAGATTTCGCCAGAGATATAAAAAAAGATGAGTGCATGCGCAACAAAGCTAAGGACAACTTAACTACAGCATCTCCAGCTCTTGAAAAGCTATGCACTGTTCACAGAGCCAGATCTCATTTGATGAAAGCATTTTGCTTTGTTTGAGCGTCCATTTGGAGGATCTGTTTGCTTTGATCAGTTTCCTTCTGTACCAGGAAAATACCGCTGACAAGGCAAACTGCATGGCAAGATTTAGAGAAAAATGTATCAGGCATAGGAGGAAAAAGTTTCCCACCACACCATTTACAAAACTAGAAGCCTGGTTAAGCTGGTTACTTCACTTTTTGTGTGCTGTGATAAGCATGCAAGGGATCTATAGCTAGCACTAAGCTGGCCTTGTATACTGCTTGTATAACCACTGAAGAGTTGGTTAAAATATAGAGCTGCATGCATGGAATACCACACGGGATTTTCTTACATGCCTGGGGTCACTATGATAAAGGTTAACAATATGCCCTAAGCTGGAACCAGACAATAGCTTTTAAGAAAGGTAAAAGGGTGATAAAAACATTGTTTTCCACTGGAATACACACTCATTTATTTTTCCTGCCATTGGCTACTGTCAAACAGGATTTACAAGGTTTTGAAGTACTGCAATACCCTGTGAACCAAAGGCAGCAGTGGAATGAGTGAGTATACCACAAATTAGGATGTCTCTTCATTCCACTTTTCAACTCTGTTGACTCTCTTCAAAGCAGAACATCACACTGTTGCCTGTTCAGCATGATTAGATATGGCAGACATTTAATGTACAGGTGTCCTTTGGTTTGTTTACCGTTTATGTTCACAAAGAAATAAGCGAGTCAATTCAATTGCTGTTGCACTGGCATCAACACAAACCCTTTCTAGCTATACTGCATACATGTTGGCTTTGTTTTATGGAAAATACGAAAACGGTTGGGCAAAGATTCTCTCAAAATACATATACCATTATTTTAATATGCCAAATGCCTTTTTTTTATTAACACTGACGTTTAGGTCAGCAAATTCAGGTGAACTGGAAGAAACAGAAAGGTGAAAATTAAGTTTTCAAGATCCTTTGCCAAAGAGGATCACTGCTGCTGGAATGTAATCATAGTGTGGATCAGTGTTGCCCTCTCATCATAATCTGGTCACTTACCGCTATGAAAGACATTATCAGGGGGCTTCCTAATATCTGATAGGATTACATTGTTCTTTCCAAAGCGCTTTCTAGAGAAAACAGAAAGATTAGACTCAGAACAGCTCTTCTGAATTCATTTTAATTAGCAAGATAGGTTCTGGACAAGACTCTTTGAACAGAACTAGTTTTGCTAGGTGCTGTGCCTTCTAGCCCAAAGTTCCTGCACTTTGAAATAGCAGCATCGACAACCCTCCTGCATCAGAAAACATCAGCCGACAACATATGGATTCAGTTTTGTGATCAACCCAGATCAGTGTACAATGCAATCTCCATTGCCTCCCTGCTTTTCTTCCCCTGGCACAACTTTAGGATTATGAATGAGATGTATGTGCCTGATTTTCACCTTCTAACTGCAAGTAAATGTGATCATTCATGGGAAATCTTAACCTATATCTTCAAAAAGGGCACCGGAACTTCTAGTTGTAAATAGAAATTACAGCTTACCTCAAGAGCTTAGCAAGTCCTACTCCAAGTTGGCCAAGTCCCCCTACAAAACAAGATTAAATGTTTGCAACACCTGAAATGTTATGCCTTATAACAACACAAATAAAAATATTTTATGTCCTGAAGAGACTAAGAACTCTGCAGAGACTGGGCATAAACTCAATTAATAGAAGCCATCAAAGGAAGCTACAGATGGGTTATTTACTTTAGTGACTTTGACTTGCACAAGAATGATCTGTGGTGTACTAATCCTCAAACCTCAAAATTACTACCTCACGAAACGTTGGCATCTCAAGAGGGCTTTGGTTCAAGAAAGAAGTGGCAGATGATCCATCATCTACAATAATCAGATGGAAGCTGAACCCTCTTTTTCCAGGGCTACATTTGGAGCAATGCTCCTGTTCTCAGTGGTCTGGAGTGAGGTAGAATGGACAGGCCTACGTGTACAAGGGGATAAGGGCTCCAAGAGGGTTCACAGTGTTTCTCTAAACCAGTATTTACATATAATCAGATGAATATCAATACATGTGGCCTGATACAAAGAAATACAAACAGAACAGAGGAAATCAGCTGCAAAGTACTGCTTAACAGCAGACTGACCTGTAATTAACACCCGTGGATGGTCCGATTCTGAGAACGACACCGAGTGAAAGCTGGCGTCTGAGGCTACCTGCCGTGGTGAGAAACCAAGACACCTAACCGGCACAACAGCAACTTGACAGCCACAGCCAGGTTTCTGCAGCACCTGCTTGACAGCTCGGCTCAAGCTCCTCATGGCTGGCATTTTTCAAGGCTGTTGGAAGAAAAGGAAATTTCACGGTCACTAATAAGAGGTTCCACCAGCAGTCATTTTTTATAAGCGCTTCAGAAAAACCAGCTCTGCCTGAATTACCCAACAATTCATTAGCTACAATGGGAGTACTCATATACAGTGGTACCTCAGGTTAAGTACTTAATTTGTTCTGGAGGTCCGTTCTTAACCTGAAACTGTTCTTAACCTGAAGCACCACTTTAGCCAATGGGACCTCCTGCTGCCGCTGCGCCACCAGAGCACGATTTCTGTTCTTAACCCGAGGTACTATTTCTGGGTTAGCGGAGTCTGTAACCTGAAGTGTATGTAACCTGAAGCGTATGTAACCCAAGGTACCACTGTACGCTCAGTGGTAGAGCTGAGGGTCAATAGTACACAGCAGTCATGGCTAGTATCTATGTCAGACATCCCCAACCTTCGGCCCTCCAGATGTTTTGGACTACAATTCCCAACATCCCTGACCACTGGCCCTGCTAGCTAGGGATCATGGGAGTTGTAGGCCAAAACATCTGGAGGGCCGCAGGTTGGGGATGCCTGATCTATGTCCTGTATTGAAGGCAGCATGTCTCAGAATAACAGTTGTTAGGGAGAGTTACTGCATTCAGGTCCTGCTTGTTGACTTCCCACAGGAACAGACTGCAGAACTAGATGGGCTTTTGGTTCTGATCCAAGATGGCAGCTCTTATGTTCTTAGCATGTGCTTTGCATCTTCACATAAGAGTCTTTCCAGGAAACCATAGGAAAATGCTGCCAGTCACAGACAATACTCTTGTAGCTGGAACAGTTCAACTCCGCAACACAGTTTACTATGCGCTCAGAACACTGGCATGCCACTGTCAGAAAGGGAAGTGCCTGAATCAACACAGGGCCAGCAAAAATTTGCTATCCCAATATGGCAATTTGCTTGAGGGGACTCCCTTGTTATAACTGTTCATTATAAAACAAATTGTCAATTCTGACAGCTAAATTGTCATGTCTGCTGGTCTACACGGTCAAAGTCGACACGAGGGCTTTCCAAATTTTTTCATGTTGGTGACGCACTTTTTACACATGCATCATTTCGCCACACAGTAATTCAGTTTTACTAGCAAACCACAGGTTAAGCTAACCTCTTTCCAGCCCTGGGAAGAGCACGGGGAGCATTTGTGCAACACACCTACACACTGCAGCCAGCACATTAATGTGTCGCGACACACAGTTTGGAAAGCTCTGGTCTACACTATATTAACAACACGGCATGCAATGACCTTCTCTTGCACAAGACCCATTGAAATGAACAGATGCTACAGAAGAACGTATTTCAGGGACTACATTAAATTTGTACCATGCTTTTCCGCAACCATCAAGTTCTGCACACCCTGCTTAACTCAGTAGAGCATGAGACTCTTAATCTCAGGGTTGTGGGTTTGAGCTCCATATTGGGCAAAAGATTCCTGCATTGCAGGGGTTAGACTAGATGACCCTTGTGGTCCCTTCCAACTCTACAACTCTATGATTTTATGAATCAGCTAAGATTAGCTTTGATTGTAAGAGAACACTGTATAATGTCAAGACCAGAATGAAGACCAATAATAAATCTTCACTGATGTAATATAATAGCATAGACACTTTTTTAAAAAAATCATAATACATCACTGCAGTAAAAATAGAAATCATATTGCATACTAATCATATTTCTATCATAAATTCCTGTTCAGCATGAGGCATACTTTTGAAACTTCCAAGTAACAAACGCACGCACAACACAGTATTAAGTACCATTCCTGCTGGCTTGCTACCTAATGTTACAGCTTCTTGAAGGCAGCCAGAATCAGCAAGGTCCTAGCTACACCTGTTGTCTATAAATCTAGTGCAGAGGGGTTAAGTCGTCTGACTGCAGGGTCATGCAATTCATTAAATTTGCAGTACCTTCCCTCACAACCGTGCAAAGAAATAGGGATTCGATTAGAGAGAACACACCTATTACAAAATATATACCATTTTCCTGTACACGCCCCCCAACCACAAAGTAGAATCTTGCTCAGCCTAACTTCACTTTAATAACTGCTCAAAACTTACAGTTGATAAAGCTCAGCCAGAAATAAATTAGTGAGACACATACATTGTGGGGGTGGGGAGGTAGAAGGCCAGACAACACACTTATTGACACATTTAAAAAATAACCTTTACCTTTTTACCTTTACCTAGTCAACAAGTGTTCCATCTAGCTAGATGGCCAGTCTAGAAGTAAAGGGTAATTGACAGCTGAAGTCAGGCTAGGGCGAAAGCTTCACAGTCATCTTGGGGTGCCAAGTTCTTCCCCATGATGGCTGTCAGTCTGGAGTTCTTAATACCTTAGTACCCTCAGCTGTTAAAAGAAATTGATCATTTGACCTCCTTCATCTGTTTGCAAATGCATACTGGTTTCTTTTTCTGTATAGGCAAAGCACTTGCACAACGACTCCAGGTTTTCCAGCCTTATCAGAATGTTGCTCGTCTTTTTGTGCACCGGGTGTCCTGGAAGTCTAATTTCCATCCATTATGCCTCTGAATGTGACTTTCAAGAAAGGTTGCTCTTATCCCATGTTTTCCTTTGTTGTAAAAAGCAGAGTTCTAATGCCCTACTGACCTAAGATCCTACACATCTCTTTACTCTAGCTTTTGATACCTGAGCTTCATATTTTTAGGACTTGCTTTGTTTCTGTGTTGTTTAAAGTGTTTTAAACATCCTATTTTAATTGTTGTAACCTGCCCTGGGACCTTGGAGAGGACGAGAGCTAATGACGGCTATTTCACTCTCTCAGCATCCAGTCAGAAATCCATTCTTCACACTCACACAGTTCATAATTGATTACATTATATTGGGGTATTAAAAGATTAGAATAATAGAAAAGGGCATTCCAGTGTTTCATTAAGATTAAAAGCTACACACCTTCTAAAGTTGATATACATGAATATAAGAACACACATTATACTCTCAGAACTTACATAAATCCTCACATCACCAACTGACGGAAACTACTACTTTTCATGTAGATCAGTAATAGTGCTAAGCCTTAGCACTGGAAGGAAAAATAATACCTGTGTCTGGTTATTATAATTATACTGACTGGGTCCCATTTAGCGTCTAAGAGAAGCCATCAAACTAGAGATAATTCATTTATTCTAAATGCAACTGGAAAAAAAATTCTAAAAAGCAAATCTTTAAACAGTGTCTTCCTTCTTCCCAATACAATAAGACTTTTTTTCTCATCTTACCTTCCCCTTTTTTGCCAGTGGCTTTGCAAAGCAAGAAGGAAAAGAAGAGGGGAGAGACATTTATAGGGCACAGCCTCTCTCCGTCAAGCCAATTGGAGTTCTTGAAAGAGTGGGAGTTGTCCATTACACAGAAAAAGGGTGTGCGAGAGAACACATGATATCAGCACAAAACACACATCATAATCCAGGTTGTTTGATTTAAAAATAGTGTCACCACACAATGGGTACAGAACTTTGAAGACAAGAAGCAACAGCAACGCTGCTTTTCTAATAATACAGGGCCTGCTTGCCTGGTTCACTGGATTAATACTTTATCCTAAATTAACACCTGCCAACTATTGTTTTAATGGAAACTGAAGTAATGGTACTATAAACTGGATTTGTTTGGCTTAAAAAGAAAGATTTAAAACTCTCCAATAGTACTTCAATTTACACAACTGGTAAACTAAAAAGCCTCTAAGGTTGAGTCTGAAACGATGATGATGATGATGGTGATAATAATTTATTATTTAATAATAATAATTTATTATTTATACCCCACCCATCTGGCTGGCTTTCCCCAGCCACTCTGGGTGGCTTCCAGCAGAATATTAAAATACAATGATTCATCCAGTATTAAAAGCGTCCCTAAACATATACACGCACACACGCGCGCGCGCACACACACACACACACACATATATATATATACACATACACACTGTAGATATAAGAATATAAGATGGATCACAAAGTATGAATGGTGGGGCATTTTTTTTTTTACACTTAATACTTAAATTTATTAACACAAACTTGATGGACCAATGGTGTGATTCATCAGTACCAGGCAGTTTCCTATGTTCTAAAAACAAAGTTATGTAAGCCTTACTGCTGGCAGATTGGTAATAGAAGTAATACCCTCTGGCTGCAGCGTGACAGATCTCCAGAGTGATAATGTAACCTAGGCACCTGCTACGCACACAGAAATCAAGAACATTTTGCATAAAATGTTGCAGCCCTCAGGTTCATTCAGCAACAATAAGGCTATTCAGAGAGAGTTAGGAACCCTGGAGGTCTTATTTTGCTGTAATTAACAAATTTAGGGAAGAGGGTAGCAACTTGAAGCATGAAATCAATAGAAGGCCTCTAAAGAAAACTGAGGAACTGGACTATGACCCACCAGCTGGTTTTCTACAGAAGAAAACTGGTAGCAATAAGCATGCTTTTATGAAGAGTAAGTTAATGTACCGCATAGTTTGGTCCTTAGGTAAGCTGAATTGAAGCTTTTAAGAGCTGTAGATTCCAGTGAACAAAATGGGAAAACTAGAGATTATGCTATATCAAACTACCGTAATTCTTTCACTGATGTACTTAATAGCTGTCCAATTAAAGTTAAACACACTGCTATTTGGAGAAGCCATCCAAAGGGACAAGATTCACACCCAAAGTTTTCAGCACTAGAAAACTGCGAGTTAGTCTTGCAACAAAATGTTGCAGTGTGAAGAACTCCTTTTCAGGGTTCCATATATCCAACTCCCCACCTGGCATCCCCCCCCCTGAAAAAAACAAACACCTCCTCTTACACACAGTATGTTCAGTGCTCACTGAGTTTTTTTAGGAGGTCTCTCCTGTTAGGGGTTTCCACTTTTTTCCATTCCGCTTGCTATTTCTGCAAGCATCAGGGCTCCCCTGAACATGCCAATACCTCCCTCTTGTGCCTGGACGGTGCCGTTTCTGCTAAGAATGGATTGGCAGTCAGGAAGAAGTTCGCAATTGGTGCAGACTCTACTACAGTGGTACCTCGGGTTACATATGCTTCAGCTTACACACTCCGCTAACCTAGAAATAGTGCTTCAGGTTAAGAACTTTGCTTCAGGATAAGAACAGAAATCGGGCTCCGGCAGCGCGGCAGCAGCAGGAGGCCCCATTAGCTAAGAACAGTTTCAAGTTAAGTACGGACCTCCGGAACGAATTAAGTACTTAACCCGAGGTACCACTGTACTGTGCAGAGGTCATCAGCACTGCACCTGCAGGTGCCAGTGTCGACAAAAAATCCAAACTCTGAGCTATCATTAAAAAAAATCATAGCCCTCCTAAAAAGAAAATTAAGCAAATTGTGCAAGCACTCATCTAATTTAAAAATTAAAAAATTGGTGAAACGACCCAGCCTGGCTGCTCCCACCTATCCATGTTTTTAGCCAATGAGTGAAGCCAATGCAGTGATTGATGAACTGTACTCATACCAGGCAACAGGAATCCCTGGGACTTTAAAGAGCTGCTTCCCCCTCTGCTTTACTGCCCTTTTCCATTTTCTAGTAGTCCTTGGAATCTCCATATTTTGCACTTCCTGGGGATCAAAAAATTTAGGAGGAGGAGTGGAGAGGAACTGACAGGATGCATTTCATTCCACTTGCAGAGATGTAGGGATGACAGTAGACAGTAGCCAACCTTCTCTTCTATGTTCTTTTACAAGGGAAATATAATTTCCAAATGCAATTTCTTTTCTCCTTAACTGATGGAGAAGTGTTGCAAAACCCACCCCACCCAACATGCTGTAAATGATCAGAGAATGCAAGAACGTTGTTCAATGGCTTTTTCCTCAAGCAAAATAAAATATTTTGTGCACCGCCCTTTTTGTAAACAAACAAAGCCTGCATGGGACTGTGTGGGGATCTCTTTATCAAAAAATCTACAAATTAACTCTTCCCAACTGCAATCAATGAGATTCAAAAGTATTTACTTGGGCTGAATTGTACCCTACATTATTCGGGGGAGTGGGTGGCGCTGTGGTCTAAACCACTGAGCCTCTTGGGTTTGCTGATTCGTGGGTTTGCTGGTTGGTGGGTTCAAATCTGCACAACGGGGTGAGCTCCCATTGATCTTTCCCAGCTCCTGCCAATGTAGCAGTTCAAAAGCATACCAGTGCAAATAGATATATAGGTACTGCTGTGGTGGGAAGGTAAACGGCGTTTCCATGCTCTCTGGCATTCGTCATCATGTCCTGTTGCGCCAGAAGCGGTTTAGTCATGCTGGCCACATGACCTGGAAAGCTGTGGACAAACACCGGCTTTCTCGATCTGAATTGAGATGCGTGCCGCACCCCATAGTCACCTTTGACTAGACTTAACCGTCCAGTGGTCCTATACTTTTTACCCGTCATTATTGTTGCAAGGCAATTTTAGACTAGACATATCCATTTAATAAGAGGATTTCATTTTTAACTTCTTGGCAGCACTGAACAGTGTGCAACGTCACTCCCATGTTTACGCAGATTCTCACTTTTATGTCTCTAGGTCTATTACAGCAAGTTCCTTTCCTGGAATTGCTTTTAACACTGCAATGCCCATTTTGATTTCAAGGCGCTCTTAAATTACAACCCATAACTCTTAGCTCATGACAGCCAAGTGCTTGGTTAACCTCTGGCTCACACACTGCATTGAGCAATATAGCTTGTGCAGCAGTTACTACGCACTGCCTGCAGCCCAGTTAGTGGACGATTTATGGGTCTCCCATTGCCTCTTCAGCTACTGCAGGAATGGAGTGCTGCTGCAGCAACACGTGCAAGGACTTTTTTTGAAAAATGCTGACGAAATAGAAGTTCAGAGGAAAGTGAAAGACAAACGTTGGAATTCAACATTAAGTGGCACTGAAATGAAATGCAGACCGTGATGCGTTTTATTTCTGGAAGGCGGCAGGCAGCACCTTTGCCATTAATTTCTACGCAATTTGATACCTGAACTTTGCAGAACTTTTGCAAAGTGCAAAATCAAGCATAGTTTGTTTTCTCTTTTTAAGCCCACATTCCCAGAACATTCGCACTTCTATCTCAACAAGTCTTCACTGGCTTAGTCGTGTACACAGAACGGAAGGTGGCAGGATCCCCAAGGACATGCTCTGCAGGGAGCTGGCTTCAGGGAGTAGGCCTGTTGGCAGACCAACTGTGTTACAAAGATGTAAGCAAACATGACATGAAGACTGGCAGCATAAACCCTGCCGTGTGGGAATCCCTTGCAGACAATTGCAGTGCCTGGAGACAGACAGTCAGGTTGTGTATCCACGGCAGGGACCAGGAGAAGTGATCGCAGGGATGACTGCAGAGAGAAGAAACGCCATGGTGCATCTGCAGCAGGACAACTGGACACCTTGATCTGCCCCAGCTGCAACAAAACATGTCCCTCCCTTCCAACAGTTTGACTTCATCCCCATTGGTGCACTCTCCCATTGTCTCTTGGGACAGACAGTTGCTGCCTCGCATTTCCATTAAAGGCATCAGCCTCCTACAGCACAACAGGATGCCACGTTGAATGCAATCCAGAGAAAGGTGGTTGTGCCCTCATTCTATTAAAATGAGCGTAACTTAAATTATTAATTAGCAACTTGATAAAGTGGGATTTCAAGACAATTAACTACAGTATACACATTTTTATTTTTTTGCACATTTTAATGGCAAACTCTGGAATGTAAGAAGAAAACTCCCTCTCCTCTGCACCTGCACTCTAAATATTCTAATTGGGAAGATACAATTTGCCCTAGATTCTTAAGGCATATGTTTGCAGCGGGGGGGGGGGGTGGAGATGAGGAAAGTTGGCATTAGCATTATGCAACTCCCTCTGAAAACAAAAGTTTCACCAACATGAGGAGTGACCCTCGTGGCCTTGTTAAGTCATTGCCTCACCTCACCTTGAGGACACGAGATGAAAATTGTAAGGTATTGTGTAAACGGAATAGTATTATAGAAATAATCCTCTTTCTACACTGGGTGCCCAAATAGGCCAGGGAGAAATAAAGGTGGTTTCCTCTCTTTCTTAAAAAAAAAACATGAAGAGAAAAAGCAATAGCTTTCCCAAAATGCCCAAACAGACTACAGGCTACACATATACATTGCTCTCCTGTGATCATGCTGCCTCAGCAGCGGAAAGCACCAAAAAGCACCATGCAGGCAACCCTTATTGATCAAGTTTAGACTACTGTATAGGGAAAGAAGTTGACGCGGGTGGCGCTGTGGGTTAAACCACAGAGCCTAGGACTTGCCGATCAGAAGGTCAGCAGTTCAAATCCCTGTGACGGAGTGAGCTCCCGTTGCTCGGTCCCTGCTTCTGCCAACCTAGCAGTTTGAAAGCATGTCAAAGAAGTGCAAGTAGATAAATAGGTACCGCTCTGGCGGGAAGGTAAACGACGTTTCCGTGCGCTGCTCTGGTTTGCCAGAAGCGGCTTAGTCATGCTGGTCACATGACTCGGAAGCTGTACGCCAGCTCCCTCGGCCAATAAAGCGAGATGAGCGCCACAACCCCAGAGTCGGTCATGACTGGACCTAATGGTCAGGGGTCCCTTTACCTTTACTGCTTGCCTGCCTTCAGCCTGGGGCAGTACAGAAAAAGAGTCCAGCTGAGGGGAATGTATGAGACCTGTGCCCAAGCCCCTGACTCCATTGAATTCTTAAAGCTCCAAGGGGACCCATGGGCACTTACACACACACACACACACACACACACACACACCAGCTTAAAAGGCTCTTGGAGGTGAGAAAAGCTTTTGGGTAAGCGTGCCTTCAAATGTACTCCCACATCCCTGGACCAGTTCCCTCCCCAGCAAAGACAACACTAGATTTCCTGCAGCCTCATCTTTCAAGAGCTGGCTGCTATGGAGGAGGAGGAGGAGGAGAATGTGAGCAAGGAATAGTCCATGCATCCAGCTAGGAAGGCAGGACTCACAGCAGCAAGGGAAATAAATTAGCCAAAGGTTTCAAAGGGAGATGAGCTTCACACATCTTACTTTCTGCCCTTCACATCTGCAGCCAATATGTAAGAGTTTTTCTCTGTACAAGCATACCAGCAATTTGACCACATGGGATGGTGCTACTTAGCTACACGTGTGCAGAGGTGGACCAGCTGGACCTCAGGATGGGGAGAGACAAAGTCAGGCATGATGCAGGCGGTGATAACAAAACATCTTGGCCGCCAGGTTATTGAGAAAAAGGAAGTGAACTTAAAACAGGTTACCCTTTGCCCTTTAAGCTACTCTCTGAGACCTTTTAACTTTTTGCACTAATTTAACAGCAATTTGGTGCATGGGTCAGTCCTCATTAACTGCTGCTGTGTAGAGGCAGGCAAACAGATTCTACTCAGCCCAAGAGTGTGTTTCAGGATGTGAAGAGAGAAACTGAGCATGCTGCAAACACCAGTGATGCACTGGTGTCTGTGGTGGTCACCTCAAATGTATCGATTTGGTGTCTCCCCTTCTGGGACACCATTAAAGGTACAGGGACCCCTGACCTTTAGGTCCAGTCATGACCGACTCTGGGGTTGCGGCGCTCATCTCGCTTTACTGGCCAAGGGAGCCGGTGTACAGCTTCCAGGTCATGTGGCCAGCATGACTAAGCCACTTTCTGGCGAACCAGAGCAGCGCACGGAAATGCCGTTTACCTTCCCGCCGGAGCGGTACCTATTTATCTACTTGCACTTTGATATGCTTTCGAACTGCTAGGTTGGCAGGAGCAGGGACCGAGCAATGGGAGCTCACCCCATTGCAGGGATTCGAACCGCCAATCTTCTGATCGGCAAGTCCTAGGTACTGTGGTTTAACCCACAGCGCCACCCGCGTCCCTCATGGGACACCATTAGGGAACAAGAACTGCGGCCCTGCAAAAGTGGCAGAAGGACTTTCAGTGACAGGTACGGGAGAGGGAGAGAGAGGCTAACCTGTCTGGGAGGGTCTATCATGGGGCAGGGAAAATAAGGGCTAGAGAAGTACATGCACTTGTACAGCATTTCTGCACTTTACACTTATCTCGCTGTTGATTTGGTATGAATAATTTTCTAAGCCTCTGGCTTAAGCCTCATCCCCTACTGAAACAGAGCCTAAAGCCAGATCCACAGCATAAATTTAAAGCACATGAGCTCTGGGAACTTTAAGGGTGCTGGGAATTGCAACTCTGAGAGGGAAACTACAGTTCCCCAATATTCTTTTGGGGTAAAGTGATGTGTTTTAAATGTTAATGGAACACACATGCCTTCTGCCACCTCCAGCTCCCAACATATTAAATTTTCAAGACTGAGCACCTCAGGGCAGGGACCCACACTTTTTGCCTCTGCTCTGTAAAGCACCAGGAATAAGAAGGATTGCAACATGAAGGACTGGGAGTGCTATTCAGCAAGCAAGATAGGTCTGCTTAAAAATAATAACCAAAATAAAAGAAGATAAAATAAAATGCCACCTGGAAACATATATCAGGGAAGAAAGGGGTTTGCTGATTGTTGGTTTTTTTTAAGGGAGGGCTAAGATTTTTCAACCAAAACAAAACAGCATAGATAATAAATTTAAATAAAATGCTATTTCAGTACATTTGCTGCTGAGACCGAGAGATTGAGATTGCTGAAAAATCTTAAATCATTCCATTGGGAGGGAAAAACAGAGGAGTTTAATAAGATTACACCACAAAAAAGCCAGCCAAGAAAACAAAAACCCTTTGTTCTTTCCTTTTTGAAACTTACCACTTTACACTGATCTTTGTTGTTAGCCACCCTAGAAATACTTTACAATTATTATTAATTTCATGTCTATACCACTTCTAACTAAAAACAAAACAAAACCCCGGCATCAAAGCATTTTACAATCTACATTAAAGCATCTAATAAAACAACCCAGAATAAAACATTACAGAAGAAAGTCAAGTATAACGCATACATGCAAAATGCATTCTTGTTCTGTGTGTGCGTGTTTAAAGAAAAACACATAAATGTATCCAATAAATGCCCAGGAGACAGTGGAGGCTTGATGGAAACCAGAGCAGCGGGTGGAAGAGATGATGCTTTCCTCTGAGCATGACGCTCTCCTAACTCCCCCCCCCAAAAAAAAACCCCTTAAAATTAATTGAGGTGGATCCTCTGGGGTCCCACCACGTCGCTGGTTAAGAAAATAAGGTATTTTGAAAACTCGAGTATTCGGTTTTTTTATTATTGTGTTCTCGTTTTGTATTTTTTTTTTCTGTTGCGAACCGCCATAACAACAAAAAAATAAAATAAAATAAAAGGAGAGAAAGGAGGACAAAGGACGGTTCTGAGGAGAGGAAATAAATACGCGCTCCCTCACTCACCTGCTTTCTTTCTTTTTATTCCCCTCCCCTCACACGCGACCAAATCTTTCCCGCTCCTCCGCCGCCGCCTCACGACCCACCTGACGCAAAGGCTCCGGCACCTGCCCTTATATAGCCTCGCGCCGGCTCGCGGCGACCCGCCCTCCGGCTCCTGCCTCCTGATAGGCTGGTGTCGGGCCGCCGCCTCCCTCCCCCGCCGCGCCTCCTTCGACGTAGCGAAGGCAAAGCGGCCTCGGCCAATGAGGGGCGCCGGGCAGGCGACTGCCGAGCCGCGCGGGGTTACTATGGAAACCGCTTGGCGGCGGCCTGGCAAGAGGCTGCGCTGCTAAAGCGAAGGCCGGAGCGGGTGTGACGTCACCCCCGCACCTGCCGCGTCGGCGCCTTCTCATGACGTCATTTGGGAAGGTTTATAAAGGCAGGAATACATGGAAAGGAAAGGGATGCTGCTTGGGTGAATGGCAGACAAAGAGTAAAAAGGGGAAGCGGATCCAAGTTCAGCATTTCTTACAAGGCAGAAACTCAGCATTTAGGAAGGACACGCCGCTCCCCCACAAAGGGTCATCTAGTCGACCCCCTGCAATGATGGAAAAGTCCTGACAGATGGGAATCTCCTTCCTTGTAACTTGAAGACATTGCTTCTCGTCCTACCCTCTGGAGCAGGAGTAAAACAAGTTTGCTCCATCCCGCATGAGGCAGCCCTTGCGATATTTGAAGATGGCTTTCATTATTCCTCCCAGTTTCCTATTTCCCAAACCCCAGCTCCCCAGCGGCGTAGCGTGGGTTGTCAGCACCCGGTGCAAGGCAAGTAATTTGTGCCCCCTAACCCAGGGCAAGGCAAGTAATTTGCGCCCCCTAACCCCTAACCTGCCGCCGCTGCCAGCTTCTTCTTGCTGCTGCCTGGGCTGGTCTGGTGTGGTTCTCTCCCGCGCTCAGCGCTGCGCTGGGCGGCCACTGCACTGTCCCTCCCCCAGATAGTCCCTCGCTCTCTCTCCGCACCGCACGCCTGGCACCCACCCCCTCCACAGTGGGCGGCGACCCAGCGGCTCGGATCGGATTCGCACAGCCAGCACTGCAGTGAGAGAGAGTGAGTGAGCCAGGTAGGGGCAGAGAGCTGCGAGTGCGAGCGCCCCCCCCAGATGTTGCGGCCGGCACCCCCTGCACCCCCCACGCTACGCCACTGCAACTCCCTCAACCGTTCCTCATAAGGTTTGGTTTCCAGACCCTGGTGGTGAACTTTTGTGAACAGGTGAGGAGCTGGGGGCTGATGCTGGATCTGGGCCTACTTTTTGATGGGCAGGTGGGGGAGTTTGCAAAGAACAGAAACCAAAAGGAACCCAGAAGAACAGGAATCCACAGTGCAGGCAAAAAGCATCCATTTCTTGGAAACAGGAACCTTGTGCAATTTGTTTTTTCTAGTTGAAGGTTGAAAGAGAGGCATAGCAGTTGTAATGTTGAAAGAGAAAGCAAAGAATCAGAGCTATCCTGTTTGTTTAGCTATGAGGATCTGCAATGGCTTCATCAAACATCATGCTGGTATTTGATTGCCTCAAAAGAGACAGGAAATATTCAAGTACCCGTAATGTACAACTTGAGCAACAGGAAGAAAAAAACCTGGATACAAGAACTTTCATATTGAAAGCAAAACTTCTACCAGTGTTGAAATTTGAGCTCCTAACACTATGTTGGGCCCTTAAAGAAAGCTACGACTTCAGGCCTGGAAGTACAGGTCCAAGAGCATTTTGCTATGCATGGCTTTCTAAATATTCTTCCTGGTTAGCATACTCTGTTGCTTTGAAAAACGGTCTTGTATATTGTTACTGCACCAATTGCTGTATTTGCCAGAAAGATCCAGTTTATCAACTGCCAATAAGCAAGAACCAGAATTCACACAGATGAGGAAGATCTCTTGAGTAGGACCCTGGCAGAGATACATGCTCGACTGGCATATTCTCTCCCTCCTGGTCGATCATTCGGGAGCTTTAAAAGCTTTCTTCAGCCCAAACATCACCGCGACCGATGCCAACAGACACCGGCACACTTAGGGATCCGCAGAGTCTTCGTAGTTTGCGTAACAGACCTCAGCAACTCAGCATTTTGGTTAATCTACTTTATTTACATATAAACAGACACGAAGCACTGCAACATGGCTCCCTCTCTCTCTAGCATCAGATAGCAAAGAGAAAAAAACAAAGGACAATAGTCCCACTTCACTATTAAGGGGTGATATGATAGCCATGTTCAAATATATAAAAGGATGTCATATAGAGGAGGGAGAAAGGTTGTTTTCTGCTGCTCCAGAGAAGCGGACACGGAGCAATGGATCCAAACTACAAGAAAGAAAATTCCACCTAAACATTAGGAAGAACTTCCTGACAGTAAGAGCTGTTCGACAGTGGAATTTGCTGCCAAGAAGTGTGGTGGAGTCTCCTTCTTTGGAGGTCTTTAAGCAGAGGCTTGACAACCATATGTCAGGAGTGCTCTGATGGTGTTTCCTGCTTGGCAGGGGGTTGGACTCGATGGCCCTTGTGGTCTACTCCAACTCTGATTCTATGATTCACGGAACACAGTAAGAGAAATATCCTGTTTCCGTCACTTCCCACTCTGTGGAGTCAAAACGTACACCGTCATGTGATAGACAACAATCCCATGACTGCAATTATGGAGCAGGAATTCTAACAGTTTCCACCTCAAGCTTGAAGATAATGATGAGTGCCAGGTGAGCCTCCCTGGACAGAGCATCCCACAGGAGCAGGGACACTACAGAAAAGGCCGGTTCTTGAGCTGCCACCCTCCATACCTCCTGTGGAATGGCAACATGAAGAAGGACCTCAGGTGACAATCGCAGGTTGGATCATATGTGGAGAGTCAGTCAGAGGCATGGGGGGGGCGTGTTACCATGGCAATTGCCCCAGGCACAGAATTTTTTAGGGGCATGCCTCTACAGTTGCTTCCTTAACAGGAGGCGCTGTCCATCCCATATACCTTACCTAAACAGGAGCTGGCAGAAGATGGGCCCTTGCATCTCTTGGCCATGCAGGGGAGGCAGGCAGGCGGCGGGGCTCTCTCACACGTGCCCCACCACTGCTCCACAGCTCTGTCCAGCAGCAGCACTGCATGGATGCTCCGGTTAAGGGGTGCAATAGTTGCCTTAAGGCAGCCTTTCTCAACCTTGGGTCCCCAGATGTTTTTGCAGCAGCTAGACTGGTGACTGGGAGTGGCCACCAAGACCACATAACACCGGTCTTGAAAGACCTACATTGGCTCCCAGTACGTTTCCGAGCACAATTCAAAGTGTTGGTGCTGACCTTTAAAGCCCTAAACGGCCTCGGTCCAGTATATCTAAAGGAGCGTCTCCACCCCCATCATTCTACCCAGACACTGAGGTCCAGCACCGAGGGCCTTCTGGCGGTTCCCTCACTGCGAGAAGCCAAGTTACAGGGAACCAGGCAGAGGGCCTTCTCGGTAGTGGCACCTGCCCTGTGGAACGCCCTCCCACCAGATGTCAAAGAGAAAAACAACTACCAGACTTTCATAAGACATCTGAAGGCAGCCCTGTTTAGGGAAGCTTTTAATGTTTGATGCATTACTGTATTTTAATATTTTGTTGGAAGCCGCCCAGAGTGGCTGGGGAGGCCAGGCCAGATGGGCGGGGTATAAGTAATAAATTATTATTATTATTATTATTAGGCCTACAACTCCCATGATCCCTAGCTAGCAGGACCAGTGGTCAGGGATGATGGGAGTTGTAGTCCAACAACATCTGGAGACCCAAGGTTGAGAAACACTGCCGTAAGGGATGCAATACTTGCCTTGCCCTGGCAACCCACACTTCACTACTGCAGGCGGTCCTCAGGGAATTAGGGTCCTGAACTGCATAGGGTGGTGGACGAGATGGGCTGTGGACCCGATCCAGCAGCCTTCTCCTCCTACTCTTCCTTCCCCTCTCAGATTAACATTTCTGTATTGTCCTATAGTTTAGACATCTTAGTGCAGGCGTCTGCCCTCCAGATGTTTTGGGACTACAACTCCCATCCATCCCTGACCACTGGTCTTGTTAGCTAGGGATGATGGGAGTTGTAGTCCCAAAACTTCTGGAGGGCCCGAGTTTGCCTATGCTTGTCTCAGTGCTTGTCTCATCGTTGTATTTTGTGGGGCGGGAGAGGAGCGCCCAAACAATAGAAGGTTGAAAGCAAATGGGAAGAAAGCAGCGTATTTTGCCAGATTGTACCACACACACAAACACCATCAGAAACGACACTAGCATAATTCAATACAAAAGACACACACACACACAAAAGGGAAACCAGTAGAGAGAGCCAGCCGCTTCTTATCTCAGCACATTTTCCTTTTGACTTTTGCATCCAGGGATGGATACAATACTTCACACTGATGCAGCAATTCAGAGCGCCGGGTTTGCTTCACAAACATTGTTGTAAGCCGTACAGAGATCCTGCGACACAGAACAGTATGATTAACCCCCTATTGCAAAAGTGTGGAAACTTGAGGGAGAGGCCAAACGTTAACCTATCGCACTGCCTTCTAAGCAGACATCTGCAGGACTGAGCTGTTAAATACTTCCTGAGCAATAGAAGAAGAAAAAAAGCAGTATTTTCCAGCACTTTGAAGACTACAGCAGAATCTGTATTAATAATAAAATAGCAGATTTATTGTGGCAAGAGGCTTTTGGAGACGAGTGTGACATTAGAAGCATGAGGCATCACCCTCATCTAACAGAGGGCGAGGTCTTGGCAGAGCTGTCACTCAATTAAAGAAATCTGATAAGTTTAAACTGATTAACAAGTGCAGTCCTGACCATGTCTGCTCACAATTAAATCCCAGAGTTTGGGATTTAGCCTACTCTTGGGAAAGCGGGGCTAGGAATGCAACCTAATTATGCATGTATGCATGCAGATTACAGAAATATCTGTTGATACAAGATTTCTGCTTTTATCACACTGTTTTATGTTTGTACTTTTGTATGGTGCTTTGATATTCTAAATATGTAGCAGTTTAGAAATGCTTTGAGCATATAGTAAGATCGGGGGCAGAAAGTATTCTGCCTCATGGCAGGTGTGGCCTTAAAAGACTGAACACTGAGATGATCTGCAAGAGCACCTCTGGTCATTTTCCAAGTTGATGAGGCTCATTTCACAACAAGGAACAAAGCCTTTGGTGTCATCAGGCAAGTCTTCTAGAACTCTCTGCCACTGGTGCTCCAACAGGCACCTTCTGTTCCTCCTTTTAACCACTTGAAAACCTATCTATTCAGCCAGGCCTACATATGTAATTAAGAATACAGTCATACCTCAGGTTACAGACGCTTCAGGTTGTGTGTTTTTGGGTTGCGCACTGCGCCGAACCCGGAAGTACCGGAATGGGTTACTTCCGGGTTTCAGTGCTCGCGCATGAGCAGAAGCGCTAAGTCACGCTTTGCTCATGCGCAGAAGTGCTGAATCGCAACCCGCACGTGCACAGACAGGGTGCTGCGGGTTGCGAACATGCCTCCCGCATGGATCATGTTTGCAACCCGAGCGTCCACTGTACCATATTACACACACACACACATACAGTGGTACCTCGGGCTAAGTACTTAATTCGTTCCGGAGGTCCGTTCTTAACCTGAAACTGTTCTTAACCTAAAACACCACTTTAGCTAATGGGGCTTCCCGCTGCTGCCGCGCCGCTGGAGCACAATTTCTGTTCTCATCCTGAAGCAAAGTTCTTAACCCGACGTACTATTTCTGGGTTAGCGGAGTCTGTAACCTGAAGCGTATGTAACCTGAAGCGTATGTAACCCGAGGTACCACTGTATATATACACACACACACACGTATAGCCTGCTTTTCACTGCTAAAAGCAATCTCAATCACCAGAAGATATCCACTTTAGTCTCTATGTGTGTGAGAGAAAGAGGGAGATCCCAGATGACTCCCAAATAGTATTATTTGGGTACAGTATATCAAAGAAAGATCAGGAAAGGGCAATTCATTTACTTACGGTAGGCAGTTCAAATGGCCATAGCATAGATATGAATAAAGCTCCATCCAAAGAATTATGGGAACTGTTCTTTGTTAAGAGTGCTGAGAGTTCTTAAGAGAAGCCTAGAATCATAGAATCATAGAGTTGGAAGAGACCACAAGGGCCATCGAGTCCAACCCCCTGCCAAGCAGGAAACACCATCAGAGCACTCCTGACATATGGTTGTCAAGCCTCTGCTTAAAGACCTCCAAAGAAGGAGACTCCACCACACTCCTTGGCAGCAAATTCCACTGTCGAACAGCTCTTACTGTCAAGAAGTTCTTCCTAATGTTTAGGTGGAATCTTCTTTCTTGTAGTTTGGATCCATTGCTCCGTGTCCGCTTCTCTGGAGCAGCAGAAAACAACCTTTCTCCCTCCTCTATGTGACATCCTTTTATATATTTGAACATGGCTATCATATCACCCCTCAACCTCCTCTTCTCCAGGCTAAACATGCCCAGCTCCCTTAGCCGTTCCTCATAAGGCATCGTTTCCAGGCCTTTGACCATTTTGGTTGCCCTCCTCTGGACACGTTCCAGTTTGTCAGTGTCCTTCTTGAACTGTGGTGCCCAGAACTGGACACAGTACTCCAGGTGAGGTCTGACCAGAGCAGAATACAGTGGCACTATTACTTCCCTTGATCTAGATGCTATACTCCTATTGATGCAGCCCAGAATTGCATTGGCTTTTTAGCTGCCGCGTCACACTGTTGGCTCATGTCAAGTTTGTGGTCAACCAAGACTCCTAGATCCTTTTCACATGTACTGCTCTCAAGCCAGGTGTCACCCATCTTGTATTTGTGCCTCTCATTTTTTTTGCCCAAGTGCAATACTTTACATTTCTCCCTGTTAAAATTCATCTTGTTTGTTTTGGCCCAGTTCTCTAATCTGTCAAGGTCGTTTTGAAGTGTGATCCTGTCCTCTGGGGTGTTAGCCACCCCTCCCAGTTTTGTGTCATCTGCAAATTTGATCAGGATGCCCTTGAGTCCATCATCCAAGTCGTTGATAAAGATGTTGAATAAGACCGGGCCCAAGCCTATTCCTTTCAGAGAGCTACAATTTCCAGAGTTGTGAAGAGGGATTGAATGTTGACCCACACTTGGGAATTATAGCTCAGTGAGGGGAATTTAGGGGTCTTCATAACAACTCTCTGCACACCCTTAACACGCCACGACTCCCATAATTCTTTGGGGTTTAAATTGGCATTATAATACTATAAATATATGGTGCTGATGTGGCCTAACACTGCTACCACCCTGGGAAGTTGCTCCAAATGAGTAATAAATAAAAGCCTTTGTAAATGAAGCCTTCACAAGCTCTGAGGTTCTCACACACCCTATGGGAAGATGTTGGGCGTTGCCACCTTCTTCACCCAAAAAGGGCAATGCAAACTAGATTTGTCCGATAAGAGATGCTCCCGCAATTTAAGGCGGTGCAAGAGTTCACAAGTCCCAATTTTCCCTTCAGGGGGAGGAAGTAATGACTTGCATTGGCTAGGAGGAAAAGCAAGTCTGAGAGCCAGAAGCAAAAACAGGAATTATCTTAATGAGCCTTTTGAACTAGACAAAAAGAAACATTGCAGAATCGTTCCAGAAGGCAGTCACTTTACGCCTTCCCTAGGCTTGCTGCTATTTTTCTCTCCTTGTTTTAGGGGAGGAATTAAAAACCTTTTCACAGAGCTACTTAATTCTCCTCTCTACCCATTTTTATTTCAGACCTGCCTGGAACTGACTTTGCACGGGCAACAAAACAGTAGAGGATTTACAATTCAGTGCCAAGCAGTATTTTCCAAATTTCATGGACCTAATGGTTTGTTGATGAGATGGAAGAATAGCAGTGTTCTGGACGCAGAGAATACTGGTGCTATGATAGATCGAACGCAACTCCCTCTCACACACAGAAGTATGGAAGATATGTGTTACAAAGGCACACTTTTCCAGACTACAGTGGATGCTCGGGTTGCGAACATGATCCATGTGCTAAGCATGTTCGCTGTTAAGTTGTGGGTGAACATATCAGACGACACAGCGATTCTTCCAACAGCTCTAGTTTATTCGCAGGCCAGAACAGAACTGAACTGAAGGGTTCAGCCAGCCTGCTTATATAGAGCTCCACTACAACGCAACAGTAACCATTTTCAGTAACTATCCAATCACTGAACGTCACTTTCAATCCCTTATTTGCATACGTGGACCTGAGTGAAAACTATCTACAGTTATCCCCCTGCTGGCCCAGGGTGAGAACTTCAGTACGTAACATTCACAACCCACAGTGTCGCTTGTGCACACATGCGGGTTGCAATTTGGCGCTTCTGCACATGTGCAAAGCGCCCAAACCAAGAAGTAACCCATTCTGGTACTTCCGGGTTTGGCACGGTGCACAACCCGAAATTGCACAACCTGAAGTGTCTGTAACCCGAGGTATGACTGTACCTTAAAACCTGTTTTCATTGAATATCATTTCCCGCCCCCCAAATGCGGAAAATGTTCACAGCTCAGGGGGGCGGGGCATAGCCCAGTAGCAGATCATCCACTTCCCATGCAAAAAGCTCCTAGGCTCAGTCCTGGGCATCTCCAGGCAAGGTTGGAAAAGACCCCTTCCCAAATCCCAGAAAGCTGCTGCAGGTCAGTGTAGACAATACTAACCTTGGTGGGCCAGTGGTATGAGGCTGCTTCCTATGCTCCATACACAGGCTTGGGTTCTCACAAAGACAAGGGCTGATGGCGGGTGGTTGTGGGGGACTCCCTGGTCCTGAATGGGGGAACTGTGCCCCTGAAGGACCAGATGCACAGCCTGGAAGTCATTCTGGACTCACAGCTGTCCATGGAGGCGCAGGTCAATTCTGTGTCCAGGGCAGCTGTCTCCCAGCTCCATCTGGTACGCAGGATAAGACCCTACCTGCCCCCAGACTGTCTCGCCAGAGTGGTGCATGCTCTAGTTATCTCTCGCTTGGACTACTGCAATGCACTCTGCGTGGGGCTACCTTTGAAGGTGACCTGAAAACTACAACTAATCCAGAATGTGGCAGCCAGACTGGTGACTGGGAGTGGCTGCCAAGACCATATAAGATTGGTCCTGAAAGACCTACATTGGCTCCCAGTACGTTTCCGAGCACAATTCAAAGTGTTAGTGCTGACCTTGAAAGCCCTAAATAGCCTCGGCCCAGTATACCTCAAGGAGCGTCTCCACCCACATTGTTCAACCTGGACACTGAGGTCCCATGCCGAGGGCCTTCTGGCGCTTCCCTCACTGCGAGGGATATATATATAATGTATTATTATTAAATTTTGTTTTACGATTTCAAATAAACATTTTACATACCTATCAGTGACTCTCCTTCTTCTTTTCATGGTTCATATTGCATCTCTTCCATCCCTACATATTTTACAAAAACTATTCCAATCGGTTTGCTGTTATTACATCCGTCAAAGATTACTTACACTGTTGAATTTGTCTTAATGTTGCCAGCGTTTTCAGCTGTACACAGCTATTTTCCATACACTCAATAAACGTTTTCCAATCTTCCTTAAACATATGTTGTTCTTGCTTTCTTATTCTATATGTTAAGTCTGCAAGTTGTGCATATTCTGTCAATTTAAGTTGCCAATCTTCTTTAGTTGGGACCTCGCTCACTTTCCATTTCTGGGCTAACAAAACGCGGGCTGCAGTTGTTGCATACCTAAATAAATAACCTTTTCTGACACCTGGGGATTTCAGTTCGAGTTGCCCCCAACAGAAAGGACTCTGGTTTTTTTGAGAAAGTAATTTAATTCCCCCCCCCCCAATTCATTATGAATCATTTCCCAACACTCTTTTTTTACATGACCTACCTTACTGATCTAGTCAGTTGTCACTTTTGAAGTAGGAGTCAGCAGGTCTACCAACTTCCTTATTTGCACAGACAATTTCTCTTTTGGGGGTGGGATAAGAAAGTTCAGCTTGAAACCAAGCTAGTATCATAAAGGGACGCCGCTGCATTTCCCGACACAGGTGTTTTGGGCTTGCTCTTGCACCATCGCCGATCAGTTGCTTTCGTTTCTCCCATACTCCCTTCCACCAAGATGGAGAATTGTCTCTGGAAAAGACCACACTTCCCAGGTGCTTATGCTCAGGAGCAAAAACACAGGTGGTAGAGACATTGGGAAACAACACATCATGTACAGTATAGCTTCTACTGTGCAAATACTAGAAACCTATAAGCAAAAATGAGTGAACTTGGTTTCAAGGGAGATTTTGGTGATATGAGTGTAACAGAAACCTGGTAGAATGGAGAGACTTGGTGGGGTATGTTTATTTCTGGATACAAATCCTAGAGGAAAGACAGAGAAGGGCACGCTGGAGGTATGTTGCTATGCAAGTCAAAGAGTACACAGTCCACCATGCTGTGCTGAACTTGATAGCACTGTATTCGCCATACCCAATCGGTTCAGCATTTTGCATCAGGTCTTGTGCGCCACTTAAGATCAAGCCCAGGTTCGTTTCCCCTATCATCTATCCCAAGGCACCGCTTCCTGGTGTGTATTACGCAATAGTAGGTTTAGTTTTGGTCAGAATCGAGTATACACTTCCAGAATTAATGCTAAATACATTACTTACGGGAAATGAGCCGCCATAGCTCAAGGAGGCTATGAAAATTTGTGTCCAGGAATTTTTAGACGTCGTCTGCCCATGTATTGGGACGTGGGTGGTGCTGTGGGTTAAACCACAGAGCCTAGGACTTGCCAATCAGAAGGTCGGCGGTTTGAATCCCCGCGACGCGGTGAGCTCCCGTCGCTCGGTCCCAGCTCCTGCCCACCTAGCAGTTCAAAAGCACATCAAAGTGCAAGTAGATAAATAGGTACTGCTCTGGCGGGAAGGTAAATGGCATTTCCGTGCGCTGCTCTGGTTCACCAGAAGCGGCTTAGTCATGCTGGCCACATGACCTGGAAGCTGTACGCCGGCTCCCTTGGCCAATAAAGCAAGATGAGCGCCGCAACCCCAGAGTCGGTCACGACTGGACCTAATGGTCTGGGTCCCTTGACCTTTTACCCATGTACTATCCAAAACCAAAGGAGTGCATTGGTTGCCAGCTCTCCTACACCACTACTGAGTTCATGGTTGTACTGAGATTTGGAACCAGGGGCTTCCTGATTCATAGCTCTTTCTCTCTCTCTTGCTCATAGCAGCCTGAGGAACATTTGTTGAGCTTAGGAGAGGACTCTGAGCATCATCTGCCCCCAATATTGGCTTTTGTTACCACCACCTTTCAGGGGTGCAGAGGCAGGAGCCAAAAGGTACCATTGTTGAATGCCAGCATCAGTGACTGGTATTCTGGATCCATTACTATTGGGGGCAATATTACTAGGGTTGCCATATGTCTGGATTTCTCATTGCTTTCCTTAAAAAGGACAATAGTTTTGTGATTTGCCTAGGAGAAAAAGCTCAACAGCTTTCAGGCTGTCCTGGTTTTTACTTTCTGAAATATGGCAACCCTACTTATACTTGTTGGCCTTGTTGATGTGAACCGCTTAGAGCAGGCATAGGCAAACTCGGCCCTCCAGATGTTTTGGGACTACAATTCCCATCATCCCTGACCACTGGTCCTGTTAGCTAGTTGTAGGCCAAAAACATCTGGAAGGCCGAGTTTGCCTATGCCTGGCTTAGAGACAGTTATGGCTGAAAAGCAGTATAAAAATACTGATCCAAATGGTTTCTCCCAGAAGGCAGGCTATATTTAGAAAGTGTGGGGAGGGAGGGAGTGAATCTCCAGGAGCTGGTAACACAATGATCTCATCTGCATGCGTTAATCAGTTTGAATGCGAATTCCTCGCAAATTTCATAAAATAAATGACACTGGAAAGGCAGACAAGAAAGATACAAGTGTAGCAAAAAAAGTCTTTAAATATTTTAATTGAGATCATTTACGCTACACCCACAAATCTAAAAGCAAAGTTGATAGCTATTTTTCCACTGCAGCTTTCCTAAAACAGACGAATAAACTTCAAACCCTTCCCCACTCTCTTTTTAAAATTTATTCCCCTCTCTGACAAAAGGCCGTGTAGCAGCGTTTCCAGATTCTGTACAGAAAACGGCAAACATTCTCCAGCATGCGAGCGCACGATTTCCCCCAGATGCTCCCAGGTTTGGTTTGCTTGAAAAACGAAAACTCGGAAGCAGCAGAAGGCCCACATTTAGGACTGAGATGCAGTTACAACTTAGTTTGTAAATCGTTAACAGACATGGAGTGGTACAGTAGGCTACAATGGTTCTACTCCGCTGCACAAAGATCGGCTAATATACTGGAGTTTTCCTGCTTTATAAAGAAAAGCTCTGCTTTTTCTTTTTTTCTTTTGCAAGAAAGCATCAAGGCGCCAATATGACATTAAATATCAGAGATGGAGGAGACAATAGACAGTAGTGCACTTGAAAACAAGATTGCCACATTCAAGAAAACGCTCAGTCCCAAATACAATCAAACTGCAGCCCTCCCTGTAAAAGGTGCAATGCCCACTACTGTACGTGCAAAATCAAGTCATTTTTGGCAAACTGTGTACACACTTGTGAGGCTGTCCTATGTGCGGCTGAAGGGCAGGGTCACTATATCCAGGCACCCCAAGCTGCACGGGAAACAGTAAAGCTTGGGTACAATCAGAAATGTTCAGCGTTCGATGCAAACAATCTACGACAAAAGTGTTTCCCTTTGGAAGATCGACCACGGCTTCCTACATTCTACCTTTCTCAAGAGCATCCAACAGAATAATTAAGATACGGGAGATATTGGCTGGAGGTATGGGTAGCAGGGGTAGCTATAGGTTTCCACCTGGCTCATGCTCTGGCGACTAGGATTACTTAAAAGGCTTTGCGTTTTGAAGGTTGCACAAGCTCCCAAATTTAAGAAGAGGACTGGCACCAGGAGTTTGGGAAGCCTCAAGCAAAGCTTTCAGCAGGCATCCCTTTTCTCTGTTTTCACAGTAACTCACTGAGCCCATAACTCGTATCATCCATGGACACAAGTGAAAGAAGTGCTTGGCTCCATCACTGCCCAAGTCTTTCCTTCTTCCCTGGTCCCAGGAACCCAATGTGAGACCTTGCCTCCCTCCTCTGCTATCCTGATCTTCCTCTGGCAAAGTACAGTTGGCGACGCAGTGAATTTTGGTGAGTTCTCCATCAACGTTCGGGTCTGGGCGCTTGTGCAACCTCACACAATTTCAAGTGTTAGCCACACCAGCAGGGATGTATCCAGCTGATACAACCATAGCAAAGCAATGTGGGCCAAATTTAAAGCTCTTGAGAATTTCTGCTAAGCACATTAATTATGGTGGCAGGTTATATGTCCTGCAAGGGCACATCACAATGCCAAGTACTTGAAAAGTAAGCAGCTACCCGGGCCTCTTACTGTGGAACAGCAGAGATTCAGAGAACCACGTGGTAGAAGAATATGGATTGATCCCACAAGAGAACGAGTTGTTTCCTAAACGTGTGCTAATTTCAAAAATCAAGGTAGTGGAGTCTTCTTGAATGCCAGGATGAAGCCATAACTTCAAAACATTTAAAGAGGGGGACTTGACAAAGTGGAAATCGGAACAGGAACACATCTGCAACATGACGAGAATCTGACACCTATCAATCACAGCAAGCTCACCAATTTCTTCAGAAACAAGCATTCAAGGAGGGAGATGTACAGCTAGACAGTTAGGAATTCGACTACTCAAAAATAGCTTTTCTCTGTTTTCACAGTAACTCACTGAGCCCATAACTCATATCATCCATCAGAAATAGGCTGAAGATTTGGGGTGGTATTAGGCTAAGCTTTACTCAAGAGCAGACCTATTGGAATTAATGGTCTTAATTTGGCCGTGCTCATTCATTTCAGTGGGCCTACTCTGAGCAAATGTAGCTGAATATCATTCTTGGTACAGTAGTGAATTTGAGGGGGAAAATTATCAGTAGCATAATTTCATGTCACCCGTTGCAACAGCATCAAAAAAAGAAAGAAAGAAAATGCAGTTTTACTGCTTTAGCTGGGTGAGAAATAATCACTTCCAAAAACAAGTAGCCAAGCAGATTTTGGTGTCCTCACGCCAATTTTTAACCAACACCTATGCATATATACAGAAAAATAAAAATGGGAGAGGGGATTTATGACAGGTCCAATCATTAGGAACTGTGATGCTGTGAAGGCTTTTTGGAATACATCTGGAAGAATTCCCAACCATCTCCCAGGACTACAATTCCCAGAATTCTTTGTAGTGTAGTAATGCACTTGGAAAAAATGCCTTCAGGGGAGTCCCGGGCAATCCCAAGATCCTTTGCCCCAATGAAACTCACACGGGCTTCTAACAACTGGAATCAACATGATTAATGCTTCGGCTGGCAACATTCACCAGTTTCAAAACCAAGCAAACAACATGAAATAATAAAAATAAAATAATAATAATAATATTACAGACTGTATGTACAACTCCCTTTAACCAGATACTTAAAAAAATTAAAAGCACCAAAAGATTAGCTGTTTTCAAACAGTGCAATCGAGATTAAGAACCACACAGTGCCAGCCTTCAAAGATTATGAACGAGCTTTTAAAAAATCCTTTAAGAATAAGCACGAAGAAGAAGAAGAAGAAGAAGAAGGAGGAGAAGAAGAAGAAGAAGAAGTATTTCAAAGCCAGGCAAATCAGAGAAGGGACTGAAACTGAAACCAGTTCTGGAATTAGGTTTGATCTTTCTTAGGCCTCCAGAAACTGAACTGTGTCTATAAGTAAAAGGCGAAAGATTTATACGATCTGAAGAGAAACCTGTGTTTAGAAGGGCTTCCAATTCTCCTCCAGTTTATTGCCCAAAATTGAAAGAGACTGGGAGCATAAAGATGATGCCCCATAGATCAGGGCTGAAGCAGAGTGGGGACAGAGCTAGGATGCAACTAGGGCAGGGGCAAGGAGCCTATGGCCCTCAAAAGGTTGTTGGGATACAGCTCCCTTCACCCCTGACCACTGGACATGCTGGCTAGGGCTAATGGGGCTTGGGGAGTCCCCCTGGAAAGTGACAGGACCCCCATCCTTGGGGGGGGGGATCTAACAGAAGAGAACACAAGCTGAATTAACAGCAAATGCACTCAAATACACTCCTTTTACCCTGAGATTTTACTCTTTCCCCTGGAAACGCCCGAGGAGGAAGCAAACCACTAACACGGCGCATTTTCAACCAGCTGTGTCCCTTTTACACTGCAATGTGATGCAAAGCCAAGGGAAGGTGTCTACAGACCTACTTGGCAAAGACTTGGAAGGTGCCCAGCAGCCCGAAGCTCCCCCCTGCGGCTTGGGGGAAGGTAGGACTGCCTTCTCCTTGCACCGACCCAAATAAGAGAAATCCCTGCCTCTCCGCCCAGCGCTCTGTCCATGCCAAAAGACCTGGGGTGGAGTGTTCATTGCAAGCACCGAGAGGGGCTGTAGCTGGTTAGCCCAGGATGTGCTTCCCCGCTCCAAGAGGGACAGAAATGTGTGCTACTGGGAACGGCAATGACACTGTCCCTAAGTGCAGGGATTCCTCCCCATCCCCAAGAGACAGAATGGGGGAGATATGCAAGTCAGGTAACAACCATTGATTGCCTATTCCAGATTTAGAATACCCGCCCTCCCGGGCAGCGGCAAGTTCTAAAGAGGAACAACTTGTAACCTCTCCAGGAAGCCCTTTGCCAAGCTCAGTAAGCGACAGTGGAACCTGTATTTCAGCACCCTAAAAATATTGGTTTGCAGTGAACCACCGGTTTTGCAAAAGCGCCTCGTGTCAGATCCAATCATCTTTTGCATCTGTTGGGGTGGGAGGGAAGCCCTGACAGCAAGTGGCCGAGCTGATGCAGCGACGTGTTCAGCTGCCCAGCAAACCTTTGGTGTCCTGGTTCTGTGAGGGAAGAGAGAGCTGTCAGTTTGGCTGGGACCCATTGCAAGAGGAGGCAACTATCCAGAGAGGGGAATTGAGGAATTTCACACCGCTTCAGATGAGGAGGGGCCGTAGGAGAGGGTTAAGAGATCGGGAGTCTGCAGGAAGTGGAGTGGAAGCAGGCCGTAAAAGCATTTCAATACTAGGAGGAAAAACAGCTGTATAGATGGTAGTGAGAAAAAAGCATCTAGGCCACAGCCACCTGAAAAGGGTGGCAAAGATTTTAAGCCACAGGAGGAGCTATAATATATATATATTCAAACCGCACAGCCAAAAAGCACAGCAATGTTCTCCAAAAGGCTTTGACTCACTCGAGGTTCCACAATAAGACGCGACGGCAGCGGCCACACCAAGTGTTAGTCACCCATTGCCAAAGGATGAGCAGGTGCAAAGACACACACAGCAGAGGAGATGGTTATCTGGAGATCCTGATTCCATGAGCAGGCCTTAGATCCACAGGATCAGAGAAGAGAGCTCAACCCACACCAAACTGACTGCACGTGCGAGCTAAGCTGAATACAGACGACCAGCTGGGAACGGCAAGCCTAGCAGATATTCGGAATCTATCCCAGACAGCAAACACAGGGGCTTCCCTGTTCAGTTGGGTGGGCTGGAATTCCATTACTCCACTTGGAAGCTTTTAAATCCTGGGCTTCATCGCCCACAGAGCAAGTCTTAAGATTTCATGGCATTAGGATAAGGCTTTGCGAAGCAGACTTGCCATCAAGGCTTAACCTCCGTTTTCTTCCTATTAAAGAACATATGCAACAATCACGTTTGGGAGATTATGGAGCCATGGTTTTGGCATGCTTCTTCCTACATGGGACGCCTGCTGATCCTCAGAGCCGAGAGCCTCACCAGCATTCACAAACCTGGTGCGCCCTCCAGAACTACAATTCCTTGGGGGTATGATGGGAGTCTAAAACATCCGGAGGGCCCCAGGTTGGTGGAGGCTGGTTTGAGGCAGGTAGGTCAGCACAGAGTACAACGTGCTGCTCCTGGGAGCAAGCGAGAGGACCATCAGTTTGGATGTTTCCTCCGCAGCAGAAACGTTCTCTGGGGTTTGTTCAGCTGCCTTGTCCCTTCGGAGCAAAGTTTCCTGCTTGCGCAATAGGAACTGCCCTCCCTGTGACCTCCCTAATTCGGATCCCAAGGCTTGGGGGAACCCCTGGGAAAGATTCAGGGGGGCATGCAGGAGAGTTCTGCAACGTAAGCCGAAATCCAAAGCTGCACTCGAGGAATGATTTGCTTAGCACCTATCCTGCAAGTGCCTGCTGGACCAGGCCAATGGCCCATCTAGTCCCACATCCTGTTCTCAGTGGCCACCCAGGTGCCTGTGGGAGGCCAGCAAGAAGGATTCTGAATGTCACTCGCTTTGGGAGAACAGCAGGAAGGGCCGTTGGACCCACCTCCTACTTGGGGGCTTCCCGGAGGCATCAGACTGTGAGAAAATGGGATGCTGGACTAGGTGGGTCTTTGGTCTTCTCCGCTCATGCGTTTATGCAAAGCTGGCAAGCCATTCTCACTTTCCACATGCAGGCTTAAGAACAAATTCTCCCGCAAACACAATGGGCAACCTTCCAACAACACCCCCTCCCCCATAGCGTGAAGTGGTACGCTCCTTAAAGGGCTCTACCATACATTTTATCTTGTGCCCATTCAGCTATCCAAACTAAGATGTCAGGATGGTGTAAGAGGCACCCAAGGAAAGTGGTGGAAAGGAGTCCCTGCCTTTTGCGAGAGATCCTCTCCACGTTTACCGTCTGTGTGCCTCAATGCCAAGCACGGAAAGATGCTATTTGGATTTGGGATTAAGCTGAAGCAAGCTGTCTAGCCCAGGAACAAAATCAAAAATCAAAACCCATGCGTTTGGGAGAAGCAGGATAGACGCGTCATCAAGACAGCCTTTCTCAGGCCAGGCAAAGAGCGCAAGACGCCCGCCAAGTCCTGAATGAATGAAACCTCTCTCAAGTCAAAAGACCCAAAGGCACCCCCTGCTGAATGCCACAGGGGGATGAGGTTTGGGAGCGGCTAGCGCTGACACTGGAACTGTACACACCATTTATTAGAGGTGGCAAGAGCTGCTGCGAGAGGACAGTCAGCTGAATTAAATCAAGAGTCTTCTCCTGTAAACAAAAGAGAAATGTCGCCATTCCAAACATAAGGGGGAGGTGAGAGAGGGGGAGAAAACAGTGTCAAGTGAGGAACTGAGATGTAATAATAATAATAATAATAATAATAATAATAATAAAGACATCGGAGGGTGTGTGGAGGGGGAGGAATGTTCGACTCGACTGCACCAGAAAGGAGCTCGAGCGCATGCAAGTCTTGGAGGGTTTAGTGCTTTATAGTGTGTGGGGGCGACTTGCCCGACAGAGAAAGGGGGACAATCTGGCCCGCGGCAGGGAGCCTGGCGCAGCCTCAGGGGCTCTCCGGCACCCAGTCTTCCTGCGTGGTGTCGTCCGTCTCCAGCTCGGCCAGCTGCCGCCTCAGCAGGTTGACTTTCACCTGCAGCTCCTTATTGTACTTGATGATGTTGATCATTTCTTCGTAGGATTCATCCAGGAATTTGGACGACCGGTTCCAGCGGAGGAAGACACCTGGTGTGGGAGAGATTTTTTTTCCCCTTCAGACAATTGAGAGATATGGAATAACACACAAAATGTAACGTGCCAAAACTTTAGACTGTGAACTTAAGTCTTTGTACTGCATAGCGGTCAACGTTTCCCTTTTTTAAAGGGAAATTCCCTTATTCCGAATAGTATTCCTTGCAAGAAAAGGGAAAAGTTGACAGCTATGTTGTACTGTGTCTTGGGGCACAGGGGTGAGGGAATGGAAGCAACTGGAGGACACAAAAAAATAGGTAAGATGTAGAAACAGCAATCTGGAAGACCAAAAGGGAGTACAGTGGTGCCCCGCAAGACGAATGCCTCGCAAGACGGAAAACCCGCTAGACGAAAGGGTTTTCCGTTTTGGAGGTGCTTCGCAAAACGAATTTCCTATGTGCTTGCTTCGCGAGACGAAAATGTCTTGCGAGTTCCTGCGGGGTTTTTTTCCTTCCCCCCCCCCTTTTTCCCAAGCCGCTAAACCGCTTATCAGCTGATGGCTAAGCCGCTTAACAGCTGATGCTAAGCCGCTTATCAGCTGATCGTTAAGCCGCTTATCAGCTTATCGTTAAGCCGCTTATCAGCTGATCGTTAAGCCGCTTATCAGCTGATCGTTAAGCCGCTTATCAGCTGATCCACTAAGCCCGCTAAGCCGCTAATACTGTAGCACTAATGGGCTTGCTTCGCAAGACGAAAAAACCCGCAAGACGAAGAGACTCGCGGAACGGATTCTTTTCGTCTTGCGAGGCACCACTGTAGTTTTTAAGATGAAGACCAAAAATAAAAATAAAAAAAAGGTTGGAGACTAAAGTAGGATCAGTTTCCTGTACTTGGGAAAGTAATTTTATTTTATTTCAGGAGACCAGATTGCTACTGCTATTAACAAATGGCATTTAGTGATTTTTGTGTGTGATTTAACAGGTTGTGGCTTTTTAATTGTGTTCTTCTTGACCAGTTTTTATCGTAAACCACCTGTGTAAAGGGTGATATATAAATCTTCTTTCATCCACATTTCGCCTTTAACAATAACCCTGTAAGGGTGAGAGACAGTGATTGGTGCAAGGTCACCCAGCGAACATTATGCCTGATTGGGGATTTGAACTCGGGTCTCCCAGGTCATAGTCTGAACACTCTAACCACAATGTCCTCCCAGGCACTTTTATCTGCTCAAAATCCCCTTTGCACAGCTGGTTTTCCCGCTAGCAGAGGGTGAAAAGGTCATGCAACTTTTCTCCCGCAGGCCAAGAAAAGAAAGGCCACGTAATCATTGAAACATGCTGTGCCCTGTTGCCAAACCTGTGATGAGAGAAGGAAATGGAGCAGGACCTCTGGTGGTGAACGTATGGGAATGGGACTCCAAGAGGAGGAAATCCTTGAAGTGAGAAGCGCTTTGCACCTCTACACCGTTCGGAATAGAAGGCTGGGTGGGCATCTAATCCTGGCATCCAATGAAACGTGACCGTGTTGACTGGGTGCTCAATGCAGGAGAGGCTGAGTGAGTGCAAACAGGAACTGGGCAGGAAGATTAAATGGTTTCTCACGCATTGTGGATTTTTGAGAGGATACTTCCCGAGATCCTCTGCGGGATCTAGTGCCCAGGGGCAACATGCTGGCATCTTATTTATTTACAAAAAAAATTGTATAGTACTGTGTCATTTAAAAAACCCACACATATTGGAGCAGTTTAAAGCAACAAAAGCGAACAATAAAACCATAAAAAGCTTAAAATAGACATCAATGAACCGTTGTGTATTATTAACTGCCTGCATAGGCCTGGCAGGATAGACGAGTTTTAAGCAGGTGTTTAAAAGCAGGAACAGAAGGCACCTGCTGAATATCTAGTGGCAGAGAGTTCCAGAGGACTGGGCCGATGACACAAAAGACTCGGTTTCTCACTGTTGTCAAATGAGCCTCACCAACTTAGGGAATGACCAAAGGCAGATGTTTCTGTGATGATGTTAAGGCACGGGTACCTGACTAGAACCTCTCTAAGCCACCTTGGGAACGACCTACCTTCCCAGAGCTGCAGGCTCTGCGGTGCCACAGAAGGCCAGATGACCAGGCTGTTGGCCTCAAAGAGGGGGTTCTTGAATCTGTTGAGCTCTTCCGGCCGATTCACCCAGGACCACAGGGACATCGTCTTCTGGGGCAGCTTGAGCTTACACCTGGCAAAGAGACCAGCCGTCAGCCACATGTCTCTTTTGAGCATAAAAAACATCAACTCCCTTCACTAAGTCAAGCCTAAGGGTTCAGAAAGCATGGGAGTCACCGGCTTGTTGCCAAATCTTTCCTCTAATTTCTCTGCAAATTTGCAAACAACCTAGACGAAGATGGATCTCTCTCTCTCACACACACTCTCTGTACAGGGCATGTGAGAAGGCAGAAACAAGAGACCTTCATGCTGCCTTTGACTAAATTCCCATGGAATCAAGGGGGCACCAAACTCTGGATACCAACACTGACCCCAGGGAAAACAGTAGATCACGTGCTCCTGAATAAGCCAAAGGCAGGTGTGAGGGAACTCTCGCAGGGGCCAATGAAGAGCAAGCCAGTAAAGCCTGTTTTGCAAATGTAGAAATTTAGAAAATGTGCCTCTTTGCTACTCTGTGCAAATAAAAGCGATGTTTCAGCAACACTGCCCAGCAACATGATGCAAGGCTTCCCCCTTGTGGTGGGAAACATAAGTGCGTGTGGATTAGCGGGTTGTTATACATTTCAAGGTCACCTCCGAGATATAAATACGGAGGCTTTGCACAGAAATCCAGACCCACATACTGTTATGATTATTTATTTCATTTGTATACCACTCGGCGGTTCACTACCTGCTAGTCACCCGATATCCTACAAAGCAAAACTCTAAACTAGCTCAGAAGCTCAGTAAAAATAAAAAAGGAAGATTACTGGATGTAAGCAATTGATTAATAAATCAGTGATGATCATAATTACAGTGGTACCTCGGGTTAAGAACTTAATTCATTCCGGAGGTCCGTTCTTAACCTGAAACTGTTCTTAACCTGAAGCGCCACTTTAGCTAATGGGGCCTCCTGCTGCCTCCGTGCCGCCGCTGCGAGATTTCTGTTCTCATCCTGAAGCAAAGTTCTTAACCCGAGGTACTATTTCTGGGTTAGCGGAGTCTGTAACCTGAAGGAGGAGGAGTTTGGATTTGATATCCCGCTTTATCACTACCCGAAGGAGTCTCAAAGTGGCTAACAATCTCCTTTTCCCTTCCTCCTCCACAACAAACACTCTGTGAGGTGAGTGAGGCTGAGAGACTTCAGAGAAGTGTGACTGGCCCAAGGTCACCCAGCAGCTGCATGTGGAGGAGCGGGGAAGGGAACCCAACCCGGTTCCCCAGATTACGAGTCCACCGCTCTAAACCACTACACCACACTGGCTCACTGAAGCGTATGTAACCTGAAGCGTCTGTAACCCGAGGTACCACTGTATTGATTGATTGATTGATTGATTGATTGCCTTTTATGCCACTGCCAAGAGGCTTGTATATTCCTCATTATGCGCCTCATCCATATTGCACAGTGCAACTGAGACTGCCTAGACCCCTACATCCCTTCGTGTTTTCTCATCCATGGTGCAGAGCGCAACTGAGACTGTCTAGGATGCCGACAGCCCTCTCTCTTTGCCTCATGGAACCCCAGAAGCAAAAAGCTCACCTACCTTTCGCTTTCATTGTTGCCCAGGAAAGTGCCGAACTGGGAGGCGTACGAATGCTCGAAGAGCATGATCAGGAAGTGGTAGTTGAACTCGAAGGAGCAAGGGAACTGGCGGAGGATCTGCCAGACGCAGTCTAGGAAGAGAAGGAAGACAGGGGCTTCCCACTTCTGCTTGCTGTTGGAGTAGGCAGACTGGGCACAGCGCTGCTGGAATGGGTGGCCGGCCTGCAGGGGCAAAAAATAAATAGGGAGAGGGTCTTTCGTTAAGCAGAGCAAAGGGTACAGCTAGGAAAGAGTTCTTTTAAAAATCTGTAACATGGAAAGCCTAAAAAACAAAGAATTCTGATGGAAAGAGGCACCGTATAGCACCGCATTTTTCGCTCTATAAGACGTACCAGACCACAAGACGCACCTAGTTTTTGGAGGAGGAAAACAAGAAAAAAAATATTCTAATCTCAGAAGCCAGAACAGCAAGAGGGATCGCTGTGCAGTGAAAGCAGCAATCCCTCTTGCTGTTCTGGCTTCTGTGATAGCTGCGCAGCCTGCATTCGCTCCATAAGACGCACACACATATTCCTTTACTTTTTAGGATGGAAAAAGTGAGTCTTATAGAGCAAAAAATACAGTATGTCTTTTTGCTGGGTTGCAGAGAGGAAATTCTATGCATAAGCAGAAAAGTGCGTGGCACTTTCCAAATCACAGTAATGGGTCAGGTCCCTGCCCACAAGGAGCTTACAATTTAAGTCTGGGGAGCAAACAGAGGCCAGGTATGGAGTCGTGAGTAACTGGAGGAAGAATGTGCATTTATTTCAATTGCAGGCTTAGTTACAGTAGGATACAGTAGGGGTTATGTGATGGTTGATCGTTAAGGTGGCCACAGTCATTCTGCTAGAAGTGCAAGGATTTCTGCCTCCATCATGGAACTTCTCCTCCCTCTCTCCCTGCACCCTCCAAAGATCTGCTCTGCAGAACTGGGTGAACAACCAGAATAGATTTAAGAGGTGCATGTGTGGAAAAGAGTGGAGGAGTTTGATGCTGCAGCCAGAAGTCCTTCTGCTTGTAGAGCGACTTTGTTGGATATCACCCTTGATGGAAAAATGCCCCAGAAGTGGAAATACCTGTAAGGTTTATTCAAAATCAAAAGGGACGGTGACAGCTAAGTGGAACCTCCAGAGCAAGAACCAGTGTACCACAGAATACCAACTACTGGGGATCAAACAGGAAGGGCTCTTAGCCCCCCCCCTTTGTGAACATCCCAGAGGCAGCTGACAGCTGGAGCTACTTAAAAGAGTGGAAATTGCTCCAACTTGATGCAGTCATGGCCAACAACTAGGATGGCTTTGGAAGAAGGTTTAGGTAAATTCATGGATGTAAAAGGTGTTACATTTCCATTCCACCTTAAGGAACAGGCATGAGATTGTTGCGTGTCACATTCCAGCACTGCTTGCTGGGAACTTCCGTTTGTGTATAGTTTTGCTTTTGCTGTTCTCTCTGAGACGACATGAGAGAGGGAGAGACAACATGTTTCTTTGTTCTGACTTATGTTTAATAAATCTGTAGTTAGCATGAGATTGTTGCGTGTCACATATCTGTTTACATTCCGGCACAGCTTCCTGGGAACTTCCGTTTGTGTATAGCTTTTGCTGTTCTCTCTGAGACAACATGAGAGAGAGAGACGACATGTTTCTTTGTTCTGATTTATGTTTAATAAATCTGTAGTTAATGTATGACTTCACAAGCCTCACGCCTATTCTGTGTGCATAGTCCGGGTTGCTGATTTACGTTGGAGCACGGGCCGATGGATGGAGACGGTACAGCTGGGGTTTGTCAGCTGGCCTCCTGGCCCTCTGCATGTCGACAATGGCTACTAGCCACAATGGATGTGTTCTGCCTCCTCTGTTGGGGGCAATATGCCCCTGAATGCCAACTACTAGGAGTGCCAAGTGGTGAAGATTCCTGTTGCATTCAGGCTTTCATCAGGGCATCTGGTTGGCCACTGGGTGGCGATGGGAAGTTGGACTAGCTGAACCTTTGATCTGATCCTGCCGTCAGGCTTCTCTTGCCAGTCTTCTGCAGTTAGCGCTTCCTGTCCACACACTAGTAGCTCCCTGCTGTGCCGCCACCCCTCTCACACACACGTCTTTTCAATTTTCTGAAGCAGGTCGTGCACTCGCTAGCTAAACGTGCACTTATATGCATCCGAGTCGTTTCCCCTTACAAGCCTCCGTTTTGACAGATTAAAACTTCAACCCAGACGTGCATGGATGTGTCTCGTGCGGGTCGCTTAATGTTTTGTTACAAGGGGCAAAAAATGAGGCGCTTCGAGCTGACTGCCGCGAGTCGGCAGTTGCTCGGAAAGGAGGGCCAGCGCAGGGATGCAGGCCACGGTTTTCCAGCCGGTGATTGTTTTGCAAGAAATGTCGCAGCACATCTCACCACGAGCGAATGCACCGGAGGGGGTACAGTCAAGCGCAAAGCTGCCAAGCGGGCAGGAGGGAGGTGAATGTGGCATGTTGAATTCAAACGCCAGTAACTCTTCGGGATCAGGGGCTGGTTAAGAAGCAGGAAGCCCAGGATGGGGATAAATGGACTCTTCTCCCATTTGGCAGGATGGGCACAGAAAGTGGAGTCCCCAAAGGATCGGTGTTGACACTTGCATCTTTTACCTTTCGCATAAATAATCTGAAGCAATGGTTCCTAAAGTGGGTGGTACCATTTCCTGGGGGGGCATCAGGATCAGGGTGGATAAAAATCAATGATTTAAACACACACACAGAGATTTTTAAAATTTAAATCAGATTTCTATAGTTTTCTGTTTACGTTACGTTATAGTCCAAAGGCTACCCATCAGGAAATAAGGATTTGTTTTAAGTTTTTCATGTGTGCTAAAACTCAGTCTAAGTTTTTAACAATAAAAATAAAAAATCGTTCAACCCCATCAGTTAACAAACATGGATACATATGCTAGAATGTTATTGTTTTAGTAAAATAAATTGTTTAAATTGTTATTAAGGAAATGATTACTCTTCTCCTTCCAATAAAGTACAGCAGAAAAGTTGCCCAAATGTAAACAGTTAACTTATTAAACCTCACAATAATTTCATAATTATCTATGTCTTTCTAATAGTATAACCAAATCAGTAATTTTTGACTGTAACTGTAAAAACTACTCTGAAAATTTATTATTCCAAAAATGAAACCTTCCTCCGGTTGTAAATATTAATATTATACCAGCAAGAATGAGTCCTTCTGTAAAAAGATGGTTTAAATCAAGTCTTACTGACTAGTGATTTAAACTGTGATTTAAATCGATTTGATCTAAATCAAATCCGGATTTGATCAGCTGTCCCAACCAACAGCCACTGGCAGACCTCTCCACCATGAATTTGCCCTTGTTTCTGAGCAGAGTACTTTTTACTGTGGGCTCCTCACCGCACCCAGGAACTAGCAATTCGTCAGCTCTTACCTGCAGCCACTCCCTCTCAACCAGAGCTTCAAAACCGCGGATGGTCCTGCATCTGGGATCTAGGATGATCTGAGCCAGCGAGGTCACCTGTAGTGTCGAATCTGTGCCTTCAGTCCCATGGACCAGGACAGATGCTCCCTCCCTAGGAAAGGGCCAGAGGAAGGTTGAGAAAGGGAGGCAAACATACTGAGCTGGCGTATGCATAGACAACATATTGCAGGGGCGGGAACACTTTTTCAGCCCAAGGTCCATGTTCTCTGGCAGGAAACCTTCTGGAGGCCAGAGGTGGGCAAGATCTTACCGGCTGCCCCAGAATAACAACCCCCAATGGTTGTTAGCCAAATTTATTGAGGAGACGTTTTGGTTTCTCAAGGGCTGTTGGCCACAATAGGTGGACAGAGCCTCCACATTCCAGCGTACCTCTGGATATCAGTTTCTTCAAGAAAAACAACAGGGGCTGTAACCGCCAGCGAGTTTCCTGGAAAATTCTGCTATGAATGCAATAAGAGGACTAGATGGACCTTTGATCTGATCCAGCAGCAATCCTCTTCTTATGTTCTTTATTAAGGTTCTAAACAAGCAAAGCTGTTTGGAGCGGCTCATTCCGTTAAACTGCAGTTCATCTCGAAAGCCCCAAACAAATTCAGACCTGAGGACTGGACGCCTTATACATCCCTGCCCAGCAACTGCACTCCTCAAACGGGGCACTGCTAAGCGTACGACATGCTCCCCATGTGCATTTTTAGAGTATGCACCAGAAATGGAGCTTTTAGTGTTGCATCTCCAGCCTTCTGGAATCAGTTGCAAACCTAAGTTAGACAAGCACCTAGCATTTTGATATTCAGGAAACCACTGAAGCCCTTTTTTGTTTGAAAACGCTCTCCCCGAAGTGTGACCCAATCATTTTACGGAATAAAAATTTTGCAATTGTAGAAGCGTGTGTTTTTTTACGTTTAATGGGCCTGCGACCTCCTGGATCTTATCTTACTGCATACCGCTTTGGTGACAGTGACGCTGCTTGTAAACCTGCAAAGAAATAAATAGATAACCGGAAGGTGGGTCCCACCTGTCGATGCACTGAGCAGCCAAGCAGGCAGTGGTCAGGATCTCCTTGATGTGAGTCAGCCAGTTGGAAGCCTCCAGTTTGCTCAGCCAGCGGTCCATGTTGTGCGACTGGTCATTGCAGGCCTCCACAAGCTTGATGAGGCTCTCTTGCAGAATGTTGTACCTGTGGGGAATGTTGTACCGGGTAAAGGAACAAGAATGACCACAATGAGCCTGCAGAGGGATCTGGTTGTACCTGGAGGGCTGAAATGCCCCAGGGATCTATGGCCTTCCTTGTTATAGCAAAACAGCTTTGGTTCAAGACCTGCTCCCTCTGACCTACAGGGCTGACATCAGATGGAGCAGAAAGAGCCCAGGGAATGACTCTGTGGCAACTCTGCATTTTCCAAGTACACCCTGATCTATACTACCTGGCTTTGGTCACTGGTCTACTAACTCCAGGCAATACCATCTTATCTACGCACTGAATTTACAGAAAGGAAGCAAGCAGGACAAGAACTGGAGGCAGGCTGGATAGCAGTGTGCAGAACAACGACAGCAATGCCACAGCTTATCCCCAAGTGGAGCTAACACTGAATTGTGCCATGGCATCGGCCAAAGAATGGCAAGACGCACAGCCTTGCTGTTTGTGTCTGGGGACTATGCTTACCTTTGATTCTGCGTGCAAATGCACATATATAATACACATCAGTGGCTTGTCTATTAGGACGAAAGAGGCGTTGCCCAACTAACCTCAGCCTGCCTTCTTATTGACAACCAGTCTAAGAGGGTGGAACTGCCTGGCAGCTTCCTCTTCCCCTGGCTCAGTGTTGCCTTTGCAGAACTGAGCCAGGGCTTTTTCGGTCGTGGCCCCGATCTGGTGGAATGCTCTGTCACAAGAGACTAGGGCCGTGTGGGACTTGACATATTTCCGCAGGGCCTGCAAGACAGAGCTGTTCCACCAGGCCTTTGGCCAAGGCGCAGTCTGACCCCCTCCTTCTGTAATCCTCATAGCACTCTAGCCCAATGGTTGCCATTAATTTGATTTTGAATTGATTTTAGAATGAACTGATTTTAGAACGTATTTCAATTAATTGATTGTGATTTTATGTAAACTGTGTTATTTTTACTGTTGTTAGCTGCTCTGAGTCCGGCTTCGGCTGGGGAGGGCAGGATATAAATAAATGATGATGATGATGATGATGAGGTGGAGGACGGGGACACAACAAGTCTTAGTCAGCTCTGGCTTCATCAACTGCCAGTCTCCTTGCCTTCTGTCCTACCACTTCCAAGGGGCAACAGTCTCCAACGCCCACGTGGAAACACAGCAAACCAGATGGGATCCTGGCGGTCGCAATGGGTCTTCCCTCCCAATACACCCCCCAGCAACGGGAAGGGAAGAATCTTGGAAGAGGGCATGTGAGGTGTGGCGTGCACTACAAAGATGCAATTATTTGTTGCGTGCACTTATTCTTATTAGCTAGAGGATGCAAAGGTCCATATAGTTAAAGCTACGGTTTTCCCAGTAGTGATGTATGGAAATGAGAGCTGGACCATAAAGATGGCTGATCGCAGAAGAATGGATGCTTTTGAATGATGGTGCTGGAGGAGACTCTTGAGAGTCCCATGGACTGCAGGAAGATCAAACCACTCCATTCTGAAGGAAATCAGCCCTGAGTGCTCACTGGAAAGACAGATCATGAAGCTGAGGCTCCACTACTTTGGCCACCTCGTGAGAAGAGAAGACTCCCTGGAAAGGACCCTGATGTTGGGAAAGATGGAGGGCACAAGGGGAAGGGGACGGCAGAGGACGAGATGGTGGGACAGTGTTCTCAAAGCTACCAGCATGAGTTTGACCAAACTGCAGGAGGCAGTGCCTGGCATGCTCTGGTCCACGGGGTCACGAAGAGTCGGACACGACTAAACGACTAAACAACAACAACGTTGACTTGGGGCTGGGGGGGTCAAAGACTTCACAAGAAAGGGGTGGTCAAGGAGGGATTTCAGGGAAGGAAGACGTGCAATGGCCTGGGCTTAGGATACCCTCTTTGCAGACCCATTAGGTCTTTATAAGGGAACGTTCGAGAAAGTATTTCATGGCAGTGAGAATGAACACCGTGACAATCCGTGGGGCTGAGCTTTGGCTAGGTTCACATTCACATCACACATGCAGACAAATTGGGGACTGGGCAGCAGACTCATCAACCTGACAATCTCAGCTACTAGTCCTCAAGGGGCTCCGCATAAGGGGGATTTATAAGGGACAGAATGCACGGCACCTCCCCTAGACTGGCAGAAGCTTGTATTACGCAAATACAAGCAGAAGCATGCAATTACACTTCATTTTATGTAACTGATACAAATCAGCAAAACAAAAAGGGCCTTTTCTGCGGTGGCTCCGTTTGTGGAATGCTCTCCCCAGGGAGGTTCAACTGGTGCCTTCCTTATACGCCTTTAGGCGCTAGGCAAGAACATTCGCATTCAGCCAGGCCTTTGGCTGACTGACGTCTGATGCCCTTTTAAATGTGTTTTGGAAGGGGATGTGTGGAATTACTGCTTTGCTTTTGTTCTTATTTTTATTATGCATCTCGTCTTTTTTATATTGCAATTTTATGTTGTGCAACGTCCTGAGATCTACAAAAGCAGTATACAGATTTAATAAATAAAAATAAAAATCATAGAATTTTGGCTTTTGTGGGTGACATTCCCCCCCCCTTAAGCCAATGGCCTGTGGTTTAGACAGAGACCACTGCATCCAGTCGACCCAGCACGTTCCAAGGCTGAGCACGGGTTTGTAACTTCTGCCTGGAGGTCTAAAGCCACCTCCTCTCTCCTGCGTCCAGGGACTGGTCACAGGACATTTAATTGGTTATGAACTGGGACACTTAATGTCCTTTGATTGGATGCCCACAGGGCAGAAGGGGGAGATGGAGGAGAGGACAAGAAAGCAGAGCAGGAAGGATCTTAACTGAGAGAAGCAAACGTTGGTGAACTCAAGGTTTGTCAGCTGCAGCAGCAAGAAACAGGGGCAATGAACTGTAAGGCACGAAGGCTTACGGGGCAGGATTTAAAAGGAAGCTGACAGGATCCTCCAGTGGAAATGGATTTCGGAGCTCTCCTTTACTGGACACGCTTACTAGGATGAAACCAATTAAAAGAGGAGTCCACGAAGGTGCTTCACCCAAAACTATAACCAAGAAAACCCCAAACCCAGACGGCTGTCAGCAATCCAAACACAAAAGGGGATAATTCTCTCCCCTCTACCCACACGCTTGAGGAAACTTATCGGGGATAGTTCCTTTCTTTAAATAGAAAAGAAAATGTTGCAATTAAGAATGGGCAATCTTTTTAAAAAGATATAAACCAAGAATTGCGTAATTTCTATATGCACCCAGAATTTTATTAATTTTGCATTAGTTTTGTTTTATATTTTTCCTTCCTGTTTTTAATTTGCAAAACTGGTTTTTAAAATGCCCTCACTCATCTTCTCCAAAAGTGAAACTGCACCTCTGCACAAAATGTGATTTTATTTAGAAATAATTTATCTTCTATACTTTTAGAAATATTATTACTTCACAAGTGAAGAACCTGGCATCAACTTTTCAGAATCTAAAAATTCCTGCTGGAGGCTAAGGGCAGTGTTTGCAAACAAAAAATATACAGAAATAACCAGATCTGCAGTGCTAGATTAACTCTTCCAAAATCAACCGAAACAAAACTAGTACAGTCAAACCTTGGTTGTTGAACGTAATCCGTTCCGGAAGACCATTCGACTTCCGAAATGTTCAACAACTGAGGTGTGGCTTCCGATTGGTTGCAAGAGCTTCTTGCACTCAAGCAAAAGCTGTGTTGGACGTTCGAGTTCCAAGGAACGTTCGAAAACCGGAGCAATTACTTCCGGGTTTTCGGCGTTCGGGAACTGAAATGTCTGAAAATAGAGCTGTTCGAGGACCAAGGTTTGACTGTATGAGGGGTTTTTTACATAAGCCAGTCATTCTCAAGCCCGTGCAAAAATATTCATATTTCTTGGGGCCATGGGAATCCAGTAATGAAGAGGCCCCTGTTACTTTCTATTTTGTGCAGAGCTTCCCTCAACCACTATCTGAAACCCTGCAAAACCATCCTCTGGTTCTAAGGACTGGAAGCTTGATTTAAGCAAAAACGAGAGCCCAAGCTCTCAGTGTGCCATACTAACAAAGTGGGTTTTGTTTCTGGTTTTTTTTTAAAAAACAATTCCACACCACAGTGCAATCAGGCAATGTGCAATCAGGCAGCTGAAGTTGCCTAGACACCACACTGCCTGTCAATTTACAATAAATCTGAAGCCAGTCAAATAAGAGACATCAGACGCAATCCTTTGGGAAGGAGGTTCACATGGAATGCTGCCATGATTCTTTTGGTGCCCAGTGGATCTGAACTTTCAGATTTTGTACTCTCAGCTACCTCGAACAGAGAAATAAATGTGTTTGCGATATCATCACAGGCTGCTTTACGAACTCGGTAGACCACAGAGACAACCCACTCTGGTTGAGTTCACTGGCCCTGTGCAAGCATTGGACTGTAAAATATCCCACCTTAAAATTTTGCTACCCCAGCCTTCCTCCAAAGAGCTCAGAGTGGAGTGCACACATACACCACCTTTGCATCTCCTTAAGCCTCATGCAGTGATTCTAAAGGCAGGCATAGGCAAACCCGGCCCTCCAGATGATTTAGGACTACAACTCCCATGATCCCTAGCTAACAGGACCGGTGGTCAGGGATGATGGGAACTGTAGTCCCAAAACATCTGGAGGACCAAGTTTGCCTATGCCTGTTCTAAGGGATGCGGGTGGTGCTGTGTCTAAACCACTGAGCCTCTTGGGCTTGCCGATCAGAAGGTGGGTGGTTCGAATCCCCACGACGGGGTGAGCTCTGTCCCAGCTCCTGCCAACCTAGCAATTTAAAAGCACACCAGTGCAAGTAGATAAATAGGTAAATAGCGGGAAGGTAAATGGCATTTCCGTGCGCTCTGGTTTCTGTCATGGTGTTCCGTTGCGCCAGAAGCGGTACAGTCCTGCTGGCCACATGACCCGGAAAGCTATCTGTGGTCAAACGCCGGCTCCCTCAGCCTGAAAGCGAGATGAGCGCCGCAACCCCATAGTCACCTTTGACTGGACTTAACCATCCAGGCATCCTTTACCTTTAACCTGCAGTGATTCTGCAATGGGCTCCAGGTCTCCTGCAAGTTCCAAAGAAATCAGAAGCCAGCTCTGTGGTAACTCAGAGCAGGACTTTCTGTGTGGAATAGCATTCCTGTTGAGATACAGCACACACCCACTGTCTGCACTTTCTGGAAATGACTAGAGACATTTTTGTTCCAACAGGCCTTCCAAGAAGGCAAGTTCCCATAAGAGATATCTGAGTAGATACAGATATCTGTGAGGGGAGGATGCTTGAACTAGATAAGCCATTGACCTGATTCAGCAGACTCTTCTTATGTTTAACATCTGGGAGGCCACAGGCTCCCCATCCCTGTCTTAGAGCTTAGCAACAACCTCACGAGGTCCTTCATACCATGCCTCACTCATCAACTCACCTCTTTTTTTTTAATTTCTTTTTATTAATTTTCTAAGCCAAACAACAACAGAAAAAAGAAAAAGAAAAACAAACCGAACACACCAATGAGAAGAAAAAAGAAAGACATCAACCAAAACAGAAAATATAAACAAACCAGAAGACAAACATCAGTTAACACAAATAAAAGTTGACTCCCTCCATCTCGATTTTGGATTATGTAAAGTAGTAATTCTGTTCTGCAGTTTTCATTTTATATCATCTAAACATCGCAAGGATTATATTAAACCTACTGTGATTTTTATATCTCTAGAATTTGATTCCATGTACATTATAAATTTATTCCAGTCATCAATAAACTTTGTACCTTTTTGCTGTCTGATATTCTGTGTCATTCTTGCCAAATCCATATATTCAAATAATTTAATTTGCCAATCTTTAACAGTCGGGATATTTGGAGTTTTCCAGTTTTTTGCTAACAAGATCCTGGCAGCTACGGTTGCATATTGAAACATTATATGATCCTCTTTTTTAATCTCATCTCCAATCATTCCCAGAAGAAAAGCTTCGGGTTTTTTAACGAAAGTCATCAACTCACCTCTCAATGGACTTGTGGATCCTTCGCCACTGGGGATAGTGGGCTTCCTGCTCAAAGCCTCCCCCTTTGGCCCGGGCTTGCTGAGCGACGCTCAGAGAGCGTGTGTCAATGATGTAGCCCCGCTTGCCGGCTCTCAGCGTGGCGTTAATCAGCTTCTCGTCCTCCTTGCAGCGCCTCCCGTTGGTACCCGTGAGCGGCTGGCTGCTGCGCATCATCACCTAGGAAGGGCAAACGGTTTCCAGTGAGCAGGTGATGCCTCAGCTGAGTCTTCCACCGGCCCACAGATCTGACACCTCACTTGAAGAAGAACGTCCGCTCGGCCCAAAGGCAAAATGGGCGTTAGGAATCCTTGGTGTGGGAAAGCAAGGACTTCCATTTATCTTGCCAACCCATCTGCTTGGCAAACGCGCCCCCCACATCTCCCCTAAACACAAAGGTAGCGGGATGAAAGTTGGCATGCACACACAGGGCACAATTTTAGGTTAAAATGCCAAAAATGTAGTGCAACCTATGCACTAGTTTTCAAAGGAATGATGTTATCTCCCGCTTGGACTACTGCAATATGCTCTATGTGGGGCTACCTTTGAAGGTAACCCGGAAACTACAACTAATCCAGAATGCGGCAGCTAGACTGGTGACTGGGAACGGCTGCCAAGACCATATAAGATTGGTCCTGAAAGACCTACATTGGCTCACAGTACATTTCCGAGCACAATTCAAAGTGTTAGTGCTGACCTTTAAAGCTCTAAATGGCCTTGGTCCTGTATTCCTGAAGGAGCGTCTCCACCCCCATCGTTCAACCCAGACACTGAGGTCCAGCTCTGAGGGCCTTCTGGCGGTTCCCTCACTGCGATAAGCCAAGTTACAGGGTACCAGGCAGAGGGCCTTCTCAGTAGTGGCGCCCGCCCTGTAGAACGCCCTCCCATCAGATGTCAAAAAGAACAACAACTACCAGACTTTTAGAAGACATCAGAAGGCAGCCCTGTTTAGGGAAGCTTTTATTGTTTGATGCATTACTGTATTTTAATATTTTGTTGGAAGCCGCCCAGAGTGGCTGGGGAAGCCTAGCCAGATGGGCGGGGTATAAATAATAAATTATTATTATTATTATTATTATTATTATTATTATTTGCCCTCAAGGTCAAGAGCTGAGAATATGCAGGTCCAGGATACAACTCTACATTTCAAGTTGAAACTCATCCACCTGGACTCACCCCCATCCCCTGAGCAGAAACCAAGGTGATTATTCCATCAGCTGAAACATTTCTGTTTTTCAGACAGACCAATCTCCTCTCCTCTCAACGCACTGCTCACTGTCCATCGGGTGCAAGAACCACGGCTTTGCAAGCAAGGCTCTGTATTCTGTTTGATTACAGCAGCTCACGCCAAGCTGCTGCCCTCCAAATGTTCTGGACTACAACACCCATCATCCGCAGCCAGCATGGTGTGATGATGGGAACTGCAGTCCAAAATATCTGGAGTCCAAAAATATCTGGAGGGGCCAAGCTTGGTGCAGGCTGATTGGTAGGCTTGTTGGGGCTGAATTCATCATGCTCTTTTTTAAAAAAAGTTTCTGAGCTTCTGCTTTTATTGCTTTTACTCTACATATACCCTGTCGGAACATGCACAGAGTGGCCGGGGCAACCTAATCAGATTGGTGGGGTAAAATCAATCAATCAAAATATACATAAGAAGCTGCTTTGCAGAGGTCTGCCTCACTGGACAGGGAGAGTACAAATAATTAAACATGTACTGCTGTCTTTCTACTTGGGTTGGCTCTAGGTAAGTGTACAAGCCACCTTCACAGAACTGTAGAGCTGGAAAGGGAACCCCAACGGTCTTCTAGTCCAACCCCTGCAATGCAGGTATCACAGCTAAACAATCACTAACTTATGGCCGTCCCCCTCTTTTAAAACCTCCAATGAAGGACAGTCTGCCACCTTCTGAAGTAGTCTGTTCCACCGTCGAACAGCTCTTACCGTCAGAAAGTTCTTCCTAAGGTTTAGTCGCAATTTCCTTTCTTGTAACTTGAATCCAATGGTTAGGTGTCTTCCCCTCCGGAGTGGCAGAAAACAAGCCTTCCACGGAGGCGCAGATTGCAGCTATAACAAAGGCGGAATTTTTTCATCTCCGCCAAGGTAAGCAGTTGGCTCCTTACCTCTCTCGCCCTGACCTAGCCACTGTGATCCACACAATGGTCACCTCCAGATTTGATTATTGTAACTCACTCTATGTGGGGCTGCCCTTGAGAATGACTCAGAAACTCCAGCGGGTGCAGAATGCTGCGGCGAGACTCCTTACAGGGTCCTCGCCACGGGATCACATTCACCCAATGCTATACTAGCTGCACTGGCTCCAGGTGGAGTACAGGATCAGATTTAAGGTGCTGGTTTTAACCTTTAAAGCCCTATACGGCTTAGGACCCTTGTACCTACAGGACCGCCTCTCCTGGTATGTTCCATGGAGGACCTTATGGTCTTCAAACAAAAACATCTTGGAGGTCCCAGGCCACAGGTAGGTTAGGCTGGCCTCAGAGCCAGGGCTTTTTTGGCTGTGGCTCCGATCTGGTGAAACGCTCCGTCACAAGAGACTAGGGCCCTGCGGGACTTGACATTTTTCCGCAGGGCCTGCAAGACAGCTGTTCCACCAGGCCTTTGGCCAAGGCACAGTCTGACCCTCTCCTTTGGTAATCCTCACAGAACTCTAGCCCAATGGTTGCCATTAATTTGATTTTGAATTGATTTTAGAATGAATTGATTTTAAAATGCTGTGTTACTTTTATTATTGTTAGCCGCTCTGAGCCTGGCTTCGGCTGGGGAGGGAGGGATATAAATAAAATTTATTTTTATTTTTATTATTATCTTCTATGGAATAGCCCTTCAGGTATCTGAAGATGACCATCCTATCACCTCTCAGTCTTCTCTTCTCCAAGCTGAGGATACCCAGCTCCCCCAACTGCTACCTTGCACAGGACATATCTCAGCGACCAACTCACCATCCCATTTTTCTTGTGGTAATAGCTGAGGACCGGGAAGCGCCCACCGTGGCGGAAGGTGGAAACTTTCCAGAGGGATTCGTCATCAATTGATTTGGGGACAGTGACAATTGGAGGGTAAGAGGGGCAGACGGAGAAATCTTTGTTGATGTAGCTCAACCGCCATTCGTTTGTCTGGAGGGGAGAAAAATCATGGTTAACTAAGGGTGAAGGTAATGTAATGGGATTTCCAGAGGTGGGGGGGATCAGAAATAATAGTGAACTACTGTGGCTTTAAGCCATCAGATTTCAGGAGCAGACAAAAGTCCCCAAGGATGCTCAGCCGGCTAAGAGCAGCCTCTTTGCAACCCGGTTTTCCTGACTCATTTTTCCTCCTAATCGTGCCACATACCCACCCACTTAGCTGCCTCTTCAAGAGACATCTTGTCGATTGGCCTTCCCCGCCTCTCAGCGCTGCTACATTATTTAGCACCCTACAAGGCAGCCACTTTACGGAGCTTTAAACAAAGCTGGTGTGTAAAATCAGACACACACGGGCAGGGAGGAGACTGGCAGATTCTGCAATCCCGCAAGTGCAGAGGTCAACGCCAAACACAAGCTGTATTTATTTAATCCAGGGCTGGGGAAGCTTTTCCAGCCTGAGGGCGTGAGAAGTCTTACAAGGCTGCAAAAAAAACACACTGTGCCAGAAGGGGAGAAGGGGAGGGGTTTTCACTCTGCACCTCATGAGCTGAATGGTCTTCCCCAGGGTTGGTTGGAAGTGATTTCCCCTCCAAATGGTACTGCTCATTCCGTGGAGAACCATGTCCCCTCCCCATCCCCACTACAAGTTCCCATTTTATGCAAGTTCGCTCTCCCTGAGCGCAGCAGGAGAGGCATTGCTCCATGAACAGGGACTTACAACTGAACCGAGCAGCTCAAATTCCCGTTCCGGCAAGAAGGAGTGCCAGCCATCCTCGATGACTTCAAACATGGGCCGGTAAAAGAAAGGATACATCAGGGTGATGGAATCCAAGGTGGACAGTGCCTGCGGGACGGAAAACGCAGACATGCAGAGACATAATTTTATCGAACGATCCTGAAGGTTCAGTGGGTCTCGGCCCCTTAGAAGCATTTTGTGCTTCCGCAGCCTCTGTTTATTATTTATTTAAAGCATCTGTATGACGCTCTTCGGCCAAAAAGGCTCCCAGACACATACAATCACATAAAACAAGACAGGTGGGTGTCGGCTTAAAGGCAGAGGGACCCCTGACCATTAGGTCCAGTTATGGTTGACTCTGGGGTTACAGCGCTCATCTCACTTTATTGGCCGAGAGAGCCGGCATACAGCTTCCGGGTCATGTGGCCAGCATGACTAAGCCGCTTCTGGCGAACCAGAGCAGCGCACGGAAACGCCGTTTACCTTCCCGCTGGAGCAGTACCTATTTATCTACTTGCACTTTGACATGCTTTTGAACTGCTAGGTTGGCAGGAGCTGGGACTGAGCAACGGGAGCTCACCCTGTCGCGGGGATCTGAACTGCAGACCTTCTGATCAGCAAGCCCTAGGCTCTATGGTTTAACCCACGTCGGCTTACAAGCAGAGAAAAAGCACGGCACACAAGGGGAAAGGGCCAAGGAGGGAAGAGGAAAACCAGAATCAAAACTCGGGCATCAATTTCTAAACAGTTGTTCTTATAATGACTAGGGGAAGGAGCTGCACAGCGAAGCTGGGCTTTTGGCAAAGGGGTAAGCTCGGCTTCCCATCTCTCCCCCTAAGGCAATCTGCTGGAATGGCTGCGGGGATGGGAGGCCTGATGGAACTGGCTACATGCAGGCTATCCCAGTACATGGTGCACAGGGTATAGGAAAGAACAGGTCTGCCCTTTGCCACTTTTCTTTTGCTTGGTTACTAGAAGTGCCTACCATATCCTAGTTCTGGACACCACGTCGCCTTACAATATTCTGCATTCAGCGTGTCACAGAGAAATGTAGTAGCTGGGAGTGGTGCAGCCATTATGAGTAGGAGGTGCACAGAGAATGAAGCTGCACCTTAGAGCAGCCCAGTCTGAATAATGGGGATTAAGGGAGGTGTGTTATGTCCTGAACACTTATGAAGCCCTCCTCCTTCTCCTTCCACTGGTCTGCACTTGAATTTCTTTGCCCAGCCAGACTGACTTTTCCTCTTGCCTTCCTGATGGTACGCCGTTTATCAACATTCCACTGATGACAGCTTTCCCCTTAGTAGATAGGAGGAAAGTTTGCAAACATTCCATGACATCACAGCAGCTTAGCCAATGACTAAGGCTGCAGGTAAGAGTTAGGTTTCGGCCCATCAGCGCTACTCTTCGAGATGGGGTACTATATCTGTGAATATGGAATGAGATGATCCCTGCGTTCTAAGAAGCAAACAGAACATCTCCCAACTCCTCAGATATATGCTATTTTTACACACACATCCTTGCGCTTTTATTTCTTGATTCTCAAAGGTTGAACGATCATAAAAAAAAAAAAAAAATCCCACTGCTCTTGTGGAACTGAGCACCACCCTAGCTTCTAATGAGGACCCCTGAAAAACCGGGTCAGGTTTTTGCCATTTTCTCTCAACTTCTAGGGATCCGCTTACCTCAATGGAGCCAGCTATGTTCAAAGACTCCTCCATGCCAGGGATGTCAAGCTGGATAATCCGCAGGTCTTTGCATTTGATGATGATGGTGCCGATGGTGCCAACAAAACTGCAGCAACACAAAAGGCAGGTGCGTTTAAGAGGAGGATGCAAGGATGCTCTGCAGGGATGCTCTACAAGCCTGCAAAGGCAGCCGCTTACAGAGAACCCGCTGCATTCAAGAGCAAGCAGCGCAACCGACAAGAGATTATAACCCATCACAATGTAGCTGCTACCAAACCCTTCATTTAATGCGCAGAAGTAGCTGGTTTGAAAAATGGTAAGAACAGAACTGCAAGTGATCTTAGCAAGGGGTGGGATGTGATTCGTAAAGGAGAATTGTCAAGTGGGAAGGGGGGTGCTCAGCTTTTCCCACACCTGCTGGTTTGCTCCTGCAAGTATTCCACCCACCACTGTCCAAAACATTAAACATTCTGTAACCTGCTTAGAGGTTTTTACAATTAAGTGGTATGCAAATAAATAAATATGAAGCTCCATCCTTCGCCTCTGCAGAGCCTGCCCGCGGGTCTCTTTGGTTCCTTCACTTACCTAAGACATAGATTTCCCTCCCAAACCATGAGGGCTAGGAGCTTGGTATTATAATTTGACGGTGGTGCAGAAAGGAGAGAGACTGCAATGACACAGGACTCTGCAGGACCTGCACAGAAGAGCCCTTGCTCATACGGAAAACTGGAATGAGGGGGACTCCGATCCCATCAGTTTGAAGCATTAGAAACAGAGAAAGTGAAGTGGGCTTAAAAAGAGGAAAGCGGATCACAGTTGTGATCAGGTTAAGCTCAATCAAGCAACCAGCAAGGATTAGGGAGAGTCAGACATGCAGGGCCAGACATAAAAGATCAGGGTTTCCATGGCGAGGGACTGCTAAGTCATTGGCGCAGATGCACCAAATTAGCAGGAGTGGATGAGGTCAGCCAGGGATTTGCGGGTTACATTATGCACTGTCAGGTCTAAACAATCCTTTGGTCTAATGCAAGGATTCTTAAAACTTTTGACCCTATACTGCATGTAGCACGCATGCTTCAATAGGAAACAGTTTCCCCACCCAGGAGGACGCTGCTCAGTGTCATCTGCCTTATATGAAGAAGGTCCTGGGTATCTCCACGTAAAGCCTTCCTGAGACCCTGGAGAGCTGCTGCCAGCCAGTGTGGACAATATTGAGCTAAATGGGCCAATGGTTCAATTCAGTAAAAGGCAGCTTTCTCCCTTCCTGCAAACAGCTGAGCCTCTCTCTGTTGCTTCAGGCATCTTATCAGGGAGGAAACCTGATAACAAGGGAGTGTTGTGTTTACACTGGCAGTTTTTTGTTTCTTTCCTGCTGAACATGTGTTAGTACTACAAAACCCAAGTTTTACTGACCTTCTAGCCAAACTTGGATAACAGGAAGGGTGTTTGTCGTCTACCTCTTTCCAGTTATTTACCCCGAGGCAACTAAGACAGGTACACAAAGTGACATCTGAACATTTTGGGGGGAGGGGAGCAGAATTGGAAGGGACCACGAGGGTCATCTAGTCCAACCCCCAGTAAGGCAGGAATCTTTTTTTCCAACGTGGGGCTCAAACCTACAACCCTGAGTCTTGTGGTCTAATTGAATCTTTTTGCCCAACGTGGGGCTCAATCCTACAACCCTGAGATTAAGAGTCCTACAACCCTCAAACCTACAACCCTGAGATTAACCAGGGACCTGGTTATCCAGCTGGGAATGCCTATTGGAACAAATATGTCTTCAGTGGTTTCCAGAAGGTTCAGACAGCGAGCGCCTGTCGTATCTCAGCAGGAATGCTCTTCCACAGGGGCCCATGGGAGGTGTATTCCAGTTACCTTGTGACTTTTACAGCATGCATTTTGATTTACTGAAAAGTGTTGTCTTTGGGGAGGCGTGAGACGGAAACGCAACGAGTGGCACATACAGAATGTTCTTTTTCAAACCTTTTCTAGGGAAATACGTAGAGTTCAAACCCAGGCCACATCCGCACAACACGCTGCTCCCCTCCCAGTACTACAATTGCCACAGTGGGAATCCCTCTTTCCAGGAAACGCTGGGAATGTAACTGTGAGGGGGATAAAGGGGTCCCTGAACAACTCTCGGCAACCTGAACAAACTACAGCTCCGAGTTCTTTGGGGGAAGCCGTGACTGTTTATAAAGTGGAAGTGCGGCATTTTAAATGTACAATGTGGATGCAGCCTCTGTATAAGGGACACAGGAAGCTGCCTTATCCAGAGTCAGGCCATTGGTCAGTGTGGTCTACTCTGACCAGCATCAGCTCTCCAGGGTCTCAGATGGAGATCATTTCCCAACCCAAAGTGGAGATGCTGGGGATTAAACCAGGCACAGGCAAACTCGGCCCTCCAGATGTTTTGGGACTACAGCTCCCATCATCCTTAGCTAACAGGACCAGTGGTCAGGGATGATGGGAGTTGTAGTTCCAAATCATCTGGAGGGCCGAGTTTCCCTATGCCTGGATTAAACCTTCTGAATGCAGAGCAGATGCGCTACTCCCTGAGCTACTGCCCCTCCCCACCTTTGGCAAGGCCACACAACCCTATAGAAGTGACTAGCCAACCACTATGGGACGTTAACGCCCTTCCAAGTAATCCTGTGAACTGCCAAACAGCCCTGGTAATATTTTTAAATAGATCAAGCAGCCACTGCTGCCCTTACAAGGAGAAGCTCTGCTGCGCCAGTTCCCCATTTACTCGCATTCAAGGAAATTGCAAAAGAGCCTGGCAGGAGGGTAAAGCAGGTTAATTGTCCCATTTCAACACTGTTCCAAACTGCTTGCTGCTCTTTAGTTCGGAAGAAAGGAACGCGTGCCAAAGAGTAGGATGCGAGAACAAAAATGAAGGCTCCGCAGATTGCAGTTCGTCTCTCTCTACCAGGCTACCGGGAGAAAAGCAACACTGAGCCCTTGCAAGCAAATTGCCTCTTGCTCGCTTGGGATTTTGAAAACGGCAGGGGAGAAGTCATGGAGACAAAGGAAGAGGAGGGACCCAAACTGTATAAACTTCAATGCCTTTCCCAAAGTATGGTCCCACCCACCCGCATCTAGCTTACAGTCTCATTCTGGGTAGCAGTGGGCTCAGGACAAACAAAAGGAAGGTATTTCTTCTGCAAAATTACCTTACGGCAGGGGTTGCTAATGTGGTGCCTGTGGGTGCAATGATACCCCTTGCAGGCTTCTCCTGATGCCCACAAAGCCTCTGACCTCCCCCCGGCACTGCCACTTGCCGCCCCTCTTGGCCATGAGATGGTGAGGGGTGGTCACCCCTGCCTCCTGTGGAAAGTCCCTACAGTTGAACTAGGAAGTTGGAAGATTGACGCTCTTCCCCACTTCCTCTTATGTGCTTCTCAAGGCTCAGATTAATTCTACTTGATCCGACTTTTATCCAGATCCCTTGGAAAGCGAAGTGTGTCCACACACACATTCTGTCTGTCTCTCATTTGGGGGTGGGAATTAATCTGAGGCAGGGGAAGAATTAAGCTACCAGAAGTATGTGCCGAAGGCACCCACTTAAAAACCCAAAGGCGCTCACTTAAAAATCCAAATGTGCCCATGAGCCTTAGGGAAAGGGCATTTGAAAGAAAGATCAAGCACATTCATGGAGGTCAATTAGGTCTCCTTGTGCCTACAAGTTAAGGGAGCTAAGCAGAGCCTCCATGCTCAGGGACAGTATACCACGAAATAAGGAGTGGAGCAATGCAAATAGACAGGCCCACTGCCTTCAAGCCCTACTTGTGGGCTCCCTGTGGGAATTTGGCTGGCTGCTCCAGGAAGCAAGTTGCTGAACTAGATGCACCTTGTCGTCTGACCCATCAGTTTAGATATGGCGATTAATCCCCAGAGTCCTGCCTTCCAGGCTGCAAATATAAAAACTGACAGCCGTAAAGTAAAATTCAGCTGAGTATGAGCAGACCTTTCCCTTGTTTAAAGGCAGAGGCTGAGTCTTTCCCAGAATCATGAACTGTAGCAGAGGTGGGGAACCTGTGGCCTTCCCGACAACAATGGAGGAGTACAATTCCCATCATCCCTCAGCATCGACCGCGCTGGCTGCGGCAGATGGGAGTTGGGAGTCCAACGACATCTGAAGGGAGGCAGGCTCCCCACTCCTAACCAGCGGGAAAAGTCAAAAGGATAAAACCGATCCTTAGCTAATCTGACTAGGGCAAAAGTTCTTCCTGACCACAACTGAAAAAAAATCCAGTCCTGAGGCATATGCGTTGGCAGGGCAGGGCATCCGCCCACTCAGTTAAGGGAAATATTACAAGCATGCCAAGTCATGCCATCAATCATTCTCGCAGAAGGGCTGCAGCTCAGTGGTTGTGCATCTGTTTGGCACACAGAATGTGCCAGCCTCAATCCCTGGCATCTCGATAGGGCTGAAAGGCTGCCCTTTCAAAATCCAGGAAAGCCACCACCAGTCAATGTACACAATACTGAGCAAGATGGACCAGTGGTCCGACTCTGTACTAGACAGTTTTCCTTCAGCCGGATAGCTCAGTTGGTTCGAGCATGGTTCTGATAATGCCAAGGTCACAGGTTCGATCCCCATACAGGACATATTCCTGTATTGCTAGGGGTTAGATGAGATGAGTTTTCCCAGTAGTGATGTATGGAAGTGAGAGCTGGACCATAAAGAAAGCTGATCGCTGAAGAATTGATGCTTTTGAATTATGGTGCTGGAGGAGACTCTTGAGAGTCCCATGGTCTGCAAGAAGATCAAACCTCTCCATTCTTAAGGAAATCAGCCCTGAGTGCTCACTGGAAGGACAGATCCTGAAGCTGAGGCTCCAAGACTTTGGCCACCTCAGGAGAAGAGAAGACTCCCTGGAAAAGACCCTGATGTTGGGAAAGATGGAGGGCATAAGGAGAAGGGGACAACAGAGGATGAGATGGTGGGACAGTGTTCTCGAAACTACCAGCATGAGTTTGAGCAAGCTGCGGGAGGCAGTGGAAGACAGGAGTGCCTGGCATGCTCTGGTCCATGGGGTCACGAAGAGTCGGACATGACTGAATGACTAAACAACAACAAAAATGAGATGATCCTCTATAATTCTATGATTCCATCCTTGGTTAAGACCCAGCACAAAACTAGGCATGCTTACAACCATGTTCATTTCCATGGGATAGCAGGACACTGGCATGTAACCACTGTTGCTGTCCAATAAGATCTGTACATTCCCTATGTTTAAATGTCAGCTCAGTAATGTATTCACTTAGGTGGTCAGCCCCGGCAACCCCTCCTCTCTCAGTAAAATGGAGAATAATTAAACTGGGTTGCTTCGAATGGTGTTGAGTACATAGATACATTTCTTCAGTGTTCTGTAAAAAATTATTATCCCAATAAACAGTGTTGAAGGCAACAGAAAAAGAAAATATACCTACCAGAAAAAAACAAGGCAGGCTGGAACACATTAATAAAACTTTACAATGGCCATAAAAAACAGCTTATGAGACTGAAGACCTGTCTGAATAATCGAGCCAATAGAAGGTAATTATAGAGCAGAAATGGGATAGTGAGATGATGGGCTCACCTTCACTAGAGGTCCCTAAGCAGTGGCTGGACAGCCTTCTGCCTAGGACAGTCTAGCCCTAGAATTCCTGCAAAAAGGAGGATTGCCTGCAGGAACCCTAAAAAACTGATTCTATGAGGAGTTGGCAAGCTGCAGGTTGGCTGCTGTGAGAACAGGGTGCTGAACTAGCTGGGCCTTTAGCCTGATCCAGTGGGGCTCTTACGTTCTTAAGAAGATCCAGAACTTGAGAGGAACCACTGAGAAGGCCCTTTTTTGTCTTGAGTTCCAGCCAAACAGGCTACAGATGATGGCAGGACAGAAGGACAGCATCTCCCAAGTATAATAATAATAACAACAATATTAATAATAATTTATTTATACCCTGCCCATCTGGCTGAGTTTCCCCAGCCACTCTGGGCAGCTCCCAATTGAATGTTAAAAACAATAGAGCATTAAATATTAAAAACTTCCCTAAACAGGGCTGCCTTCAGATGTCTTTTAAAGATAAGATAGCTGCTTATTTCCTTCACATCTGAAGGGAGGGCGTTCCACAGGGCGGGAGCCACTACCGAGAAGGCCCTCTGTCTGGTTCCCTGTAACCTCACTTCTCTCAAAAGTCAGGCAGTATGGAATGGGGTCACTTGGGGGCAGTCTTTCAGGTCACTTGGGGGCAGTTTATGTAGGGCTTTGTGGGACAAACTCATAAGGACATAAGAAGAACTTGCTGCTGGATCAGGCCAATGGCCCCTCTAGTCCAGCATCCTGTTCTCGCAGTGGCCAACCAGATGCCTTTGGGAAGCATACAATAATGACCTGAGTGTATATGTGCTTTCCTTGCCCACCATGCTGTCTCCAAATGCTTTTTTCTTACACATTCAAATGTTGAATGAAAATTACATGTTTCTTCTGCAGTACGCAGCTCATTTTCCTCCTCCGTTAACTGCCTGCAACGCAAAGATAAAAGCTCCCTCACCGTTTTTCAATGGAATCAATGTTGGAATGGAGAAGCCACAGTTCCTCAACATTGTCTTGCCGCCGCGAGGAGAAGATGAGGTGATGGCCTGTCAAGCACAGCGTCCCCTCCACGGCCGGGTAGAAAGGGCGGTGAAGGACCACGTTGTCGGCCCGTGGCGTCTTGATGAGCTCAGCAAACTCCATGTTTCCCTCAGCTCCAGCACAACGTTCCTGTAAGCAAACCGGTGCCAACTCGAATCTTCCAGCAAGATATAACCCAAAATTCTTGGTCGCTTCCACAGGAGGCCACAAGCTTCAAGGTCACGGCACTAGCTGAGAGTTAGCGGCCCAGCAGAGGTCATCGCTGCAGGATTCAATTTCTTACTGGTTGAGGGAAGACATGAGAAATCAAGAACCATTTCTAGCTTAGAAAAGGATAGCAAATATTAAGGGCGTTTTGAGGAAGGGGCAGGATAACTTACAAGGTATGGGAGAAGTTTTAGGAAAGAGGAAAGCTCTCTGGGGAGTGGGTGGGGAAGATGTCACAAACCAAGGTGCTAATGAAAAGGCAGGTATCTGGGGATGTCACAATCACAGCTCTCTCCAGGTGCAAATGTGCAAAAGGATGTAAAGCAGAAGTCTTAACATGTTATTAAGGGCCTTAAGGACTTTGGGAGAGAATTCAAAGGTCCTGCCCTCCCACCACTAAGGACTAAAATCACAGCAGCTGGTGTGGTCAGAACACCTCAAAACCCACCCACTCGGACTCTCCCACCCACAAACCACCAGAAGCGGATCCATTTCCAGCTCCTAGGCATGGATAACAGGTGCAGAATAAACCCACGCTCCCCTAACACAGAAGCCAGGAAGACCTTGTGCAGAACAGCGATTCCAATTCAGTGGGGGGTCCAATTGCCTGAGAATGGTTCCCCCCTCCATACATATACCCCACACACCCAGGGGAGGGAGAGGCAGCTGAACTCCCCGCTCCTAACAACAGAAAAGGCTAACCGCCTCCCACCTACCCCTGCCCAGTTCATGGAATCAGAAATGGGAGCAACTATTACTATTTATTCAAACTGCACGCCGCCCTTCGCCCGCGACATGCAAAACGAGAACGCCAAAAGTGCAATGAAAACAACCCAATAACCGACCAACCCTACCCCCCTATAAATCGCAGGGCTGTGGGGAGGGGAACCCCCCCTAATCTCAGAAGAACTTGTTGAGGTGAGGAAGTGGGGGGTGGGGAATGGAGAGAGAGAAAGAATTAAAGAATCAATACCCACCTTTTGGAGAGGGGAAGGAGGTTGGGGGGCTGGGCCCCCAGCTGTCAGAGGGGGGTCTTGGACTCCATAGTGGAGGAATTTTGGGGGGTGGGGGGACTAGCAACAAAAGCCTGATTTTTAAAAAATAATAAGTCTGGATGCCACACGCAATATATGCAATATTGTAGAGATAGAGGTGTGTATACACACACACACGCACACCGCCTTTCTCCCAGTCTGGGGGGGGGCCTTTTCCTTTGCCCCCAACCAACCCTCCTTCCTTCCTCTGCCTCCCCTACAGAGGCTCCAGGAGACAGGAAGAGCTCCCTGCCGGTACCCGGATGTTGAGGCGGTTGGCCGTTATTTTGGGGAGAGGGAGGGGGAGGGGGGAGAGGAAATGAGGAGAGAGACAGAGAGGAATAGTGACGATAATAATAATAGCGATAATAATAATGATAATACACACGAAACAGCCGGGAGGCGGGGCCGGCGCTGCCCGGAGGCGGAGTGTCCGGGGGGCGGGGCCGCCTCGCCCCCACGTGACGCTCCCCGGCGACCAATCCGCCCTCGCCGGGCGGCGAAATGAGGGGAGGCTGCTGAGAAGCGCGGAAGTTGCATTCGGGTCCTTCGCTTTTCTCCTTCCCCACCTCTCTTTAGTGTGTTTTTCTCTCTCTTTTTGCCCTTACCGGAAATAGGCCGCGGGAGGGAAGGTGCCGGCTGGAAACTCGGCCCCCCCGCGCGGCGGTTCCGGTATCAAATCCTGCCCCGTCATAATCGGGCGAGGCAAGGCGAGGGTTTGCTTTGAATTGGCCGTTGTGCGTGTGAATGTGGCTGTGCGTGAATGTGCGTGTATATTGGTGTGGGTGGGTATAATATATAAAATATTTTATGTGTGTGTGTATGTATGTATATATATATGTGTGTGTGTGTATGTACTGTATATGTGTATATATATATATATATATATGTATTAAATATATGTGTGTGTGTATATACAGTATGTATATGTATGCATGTATATATATGTATGTGTGTGTGTATATATATATATATATATATATATACACACACACATACACACAGAGTCATAAAAGGTAAAGGGACCCCTGACCATTAGGTCCAGTCGTGGACGACTCTGGGGTTGCGGCGCTCATCTCGCTTTATTGGCCTAGGGAGCCGGCGTACAGCTTCCTGGTCATGTGGCCAGCATGACTAAGCCGCTTCTGGCTGTAGCAGGAACCCCCCACCCCAATCATTCAGTTTGTACAAACTTCACACACTCACACTCATAGGAGTGTAGCATCTAGATCAAGGGAAGTAATAGTGCCACTGTATTCTGCTCTGGTCAGACCTCACCTGGAGTACTGTGTCCAGTTCTGGGCACCACAGTTCAAGAAGGACATTGACAAACTGGAACGTGTCCAGAGGAGGGCAACCAAAATGGTCAAAGGCCTGGAAACGATGCCTTATGAGGAACGGCTAAGGGAGCTGGGCATGTTTAGCCTGGAGAAGAGGAGGTTAAGGGGTGATATGATAGCCATGTTCAAATATAGAAAAGGATGTCACATAGAGGAGGGAGAAAGGTTGTTTTCTGCTGCTCCAGAGAAGCGGACACGGAGCAATGGATCCAAACTACAAGAAAGAAGATTCCACCTAAACATTAGGAAGAACTTCCTGACAGTAAGAGCTGTTCGCCAGTGGAATTTGCTGCCAAGGAGTGTGGTGGAGTCTCCTTCTTTGGAGGTCTTTAAGCAGAGGCTTGACAACCATATGTCAGGAGTGCTCTGATGGTGTTTCCTGCTTGGCAGGGGGTTGGACTCGATGGCCCTTGTGGTCTCTTCCAACTCTATGATTCTATGATTCTATGATTCACTCACACACTACATATGCCACACTTCTGTTATAAATTCATAGAAAAATCAACCATACATCGGATTTGCACTGTTCCATTTTTATTTTACTCCATATGACAAGGACTATCAAAGGGGTGGCTTGGTTCTGGTCAGCCATAATCCCTTCACCATCCCAGCACATCCACAGGAGCCCTGCCCAGTTGCTATGCCAACCCTGATGGTCCTAGACAGAAGACCATCAAGATCACAAAGAACTTGCATATGGGAGTGGATTCAGCATGGACTGAAACAAAGGACAATGATCAGATCTTCCCTCTGGGGGCAGGAAACTGCCAACTCCCCTTGTCTCCTGGAAGTGACTCATGGGGAGGGGGAAAGGAGGAACCAGCCAGGTGACAGGACACTCAGGTTACCACCACAACTCCTCCCTCAACCCCTCCTTTCTGTAATGTATGCATGATGTGTCTGGGGGTGGGCTTGACCTTAGAGGATGGGAATTTCAAAAGTTTTTATAAGGTCTTGCACACCATCTTTCTGGGTCTTTCCTCTCTCTCGCAAGTGAGGGGAACGCCCTGTTGCAACAGTTCAATAAAGACCAAGCCTACAGGCTGCTGTTTTGCTCCAAGTTATCCTGGTTGGTGTCTTTATTTTGTCCAAGGGAGCCCTCGGATTTTTCCGGTAACATGGCGAACCAGAGCAGCGCATGGAAACGCCGTTTACGTTCCCACCAGAGCGGTACCTATTTATCTACTTTCACTTTGACATGATTTTGAACTGCTAGGTTGGCAGGAGGAGGGACCGAGCAACGGGAACTCACCCCGTTGCGGGGATTCGAACTGCCAACCTTCTGATCGGCAAGTCCTAGGCTCTGTGGTTTAACCCACAGCGCCACCCGCATCCCTCATATACAGTCATACCTCGGGATAAATACGCTTCAGGCTGAGCTTGTTCGGGTTGCGCTCTGCGGCGATCCAGAAGTAATGGAGTGCGTTACTTCCGGGTTTCGCCGCTCGCGCATGCGCAGACGGTCAAAATGACGTCATGTGCATGCGCGGAAGTGGCGACATGTGCAAACGCGCTGTCACATCTTGCGGTATGTTCAGGATGTGAATGGGGCTCTGGAACGGATCCTGTTCGCATCCCGAGGTACCACTGTACATGTATGTGTGTGTGTGTGTGTATTGTATTTCCTTTTATTGGTCATTGAATATGTGTGTGTATTTTTTTTAATTTAAAATATTTATTTATTTATTTATTTATTTATTTATTTATAATACCCCACCCATCTGGCTGGATTTCCCCAGCCTACCTGGGCAGCTTACAGCACATATAAAAACATAATAAACTATTAAGCATCAAACATTAAAAACTTCCCGATACGGGGCTGCCTTCAGATGTCTTCTAAAAGTTGTGTATTTTTTATCTCCTTGATATCTGAAGGGAGGGAGTTCCACAGGGTGGGCACCACTATACTAATATGCATATATGTGTGAGTGTGTTGTTTTTATGTGCACATATGCATATATTGTGCCTGGGGGCTTGGCTCAGTCCTTTGTAGAATTTGAAGGGAGAGAAGTGCCTCTGAATGTATGCAGAGTACCTTCCCATGTGTGTGAGATGAATGGGTAGGGTGTTCTCTGTCTTAAGGACTAGCCCCATAAATGAGGTGCTTCAAAATTGGGAATGTGAATACTGTTAAAGCAAATAACAAGGCTTTGTGGTTTTTTGTGGATCTGGACACTAGAGGGAAGCAGTTTGCTGTTCCAGTGTTGGTCAAACAGACCACACAAGTCCATTCCCTTCCATTCAACAATATTGTATTGGCATCATAAGCTATCACCCTCAATAACTTGGGATACAGGTTCAGGTAGGTAGCCATGTTGGTCTGACGCAGTAGAAATATACAGTGGTGCTTCAGGTTACAGACGCTTCAGGTTACAGAGTCCGCTAACCCTGAAATAATACCTCGGGTTAAGAACTTTGCTTCAGGATGAGAACAGAAATTGTGCGGCGGCGGCAGCAGGAGGCCCCATTAGCTAAAGTGGTACCTCAGGTTAAGAACAGTGTCAGGTTAAGAACGGACCTCCAGAATGAATTAAGTTCTTAACCCGAGGTACCACTGTACAGTATAAAAAAATAATAAAAATGTCCAAAAAAATAGACTGGAAAGAGAAGTTGCTGAATTTCAACTTCTTGTTGTTGTTGTTTAATCGTTTAGTCGTGTTCGACTCTTCGTGACCCCATGGACCAGAGCAAGCCAGGCACTCCTGTCTTCCACTGCCTCCCGCAGTTTGGTCAGACTCACGTTTGTAGCTTCGAGAACACTGTCCCACCATCTCGTCCTCTGTCGTCCCCTTCTCCTTGTGCCCTCAATCTTTCCCAACACCAGGGTCTTTTCCAGGGAGTCTTCTCTTCTCATGAGGTGGCCAAAGCACTGGAGCCTCAGCTTCACGATCTGTAAAACTTCAAAAAAATCAGTCTCACTACGGACAAACAAAAGGTTCTGCACTTAGGCAGGACTAATCAGACGCACAACTTCAGGATGTGGGCTTGCCAGTTGAAAAAGATTTAGGGGTCTTAGTGGCCCACAAGCTTAACACAAGTCAATAGCATAATGTAGCAGCAAAAGAAGCTGATGTGATTTTAGGCTGCATCAACATATAGTGTCCTGATCAAGGGAAGTCGTCGTCCTGTTGCATTCTGCCTTGGCCAGGCCCCACCCGGAATATTGGGTCCAGTTTGGGGCACCACAAATTAAGAAGGATGTCGACAAGCTGGAAGATGTGCAGAGGAAGTCAGCCAAGATGATCAAGAGTCTGGAAACCAAGCCGTATGAGGAACAGTTGAGGGACTTGGATATGTTTAGCCTGGAAAAGAGGAGACTGAGAGGTGATATGATGGCCAAGCCTGTTTCTCCCAGCCCTAGAGGAATCCTGGCAGTCATTTCTGCAACTTGCAACTGTGATGGCCTGGGACTCGGACTTGGAGCCAGAGGAGTCTCAGTCCGCACCAGATCCTTGGCCTCAAGTGGCAGCTGAACCTAGTCTGGGGCCTGATTCTGAAGAGCCCCAGTCTGAACAGGTTTCCCTGCAACAAGCACTAGCAGGGCCGAGTCAGGGGCCTGAGCCTGCCCTGGCTCCAGATATGGGGATGACCTCGCTGCCTCCAGGTGGGCCATCACTTGCAGCTGCTCCACTACCGGTTGGGTCAGGGGAGGCTGAGGCGGCCCCTGGGTCTAATAACCTACCGGCGCCTCCCGAGCTGCAGAGACTCAGGTCTGAGAGAAGGAGAGATCTGAGTACTCGCAAGAGGAGTCCTCTCCCTCGGGAGAGACAGGGAGGTGAGTCACCGGGGGATCAGGACTGGCCGTTACCCCGACAAAGATAAAAGGCTGCTGGACCCCGTCCCAGGTTGTGGGAGCAAAGTTGCAGTTTGCCAGAACCTGCCTGTGATCCTGTACCTGTCATTGCCTAGTTTCCTGCCTTGTGTCCTGCCTTGGCCCTGTCGGACTGACTCCTCACGGATCCCTTGGATTCAGGACCGGACCTGGACCGTGTTGCTTGGGTTACCCCCGGGCCCAGCACAACAACCCACCATTCAAGGAGCTCAGTGTGATACCCATGGGTCTCTCCCCCCATTCACCTCCCATTTATCCTCACAACAACCTTGTGAGGTAGGCTATGCTGAGTGATGGTGACCATCCTGAGGTCCCCCTGTGAGTTTCATGGTCCCATGGGGCTATGAGGAGCGATTAAAGGAGCTGGGTATGTTTAGCCTGGAGAAGAGGAGACTCAGAGGAGGTATGAGAGCCATCTTCAAATCTCTCTCTCTCTCTATATATATATATACAGTGGTACTTCGGGTTACAGACGCTTCAGGTTACATACACTTCAGGTTACAGACTCCGCTAACTCAGAAATAGTACCTCGGGTTAAGAACTTTGCTTCAGGATGAGAACAGAAATCGTGTCTGGAGGGACAGAAATCGTGTCTGGCGGTTGTTCTGTGGGGCTTCCCAGTCCTGTCATGCAAACCCTCTGCGTGCAGAGCCAAGACACTAAGGCAAAGCCCTTCTTCCCTTCTTACCTTCCCGAATGAAGAACACACCAAAGGAAAGGAAGGCAATTGTCACGGCTGGGGTCCATCTGAGATCTCCTGGTGCCTGGGAAGCTAAGGGAGAACGTTTGCAGTCAGACCATGAAAGCATAACAATTCTCCTTTTGCAGCTCTGT